ATAGTAATTATTTTAACTTATTAAATTTGATTTTAATAAGTTTGATTATTTTTGCATGTCAAAATTCAAGATTACTTAAAGACTCACTTTAACTTTTCTTAGAATGTTAAACTGACTTTGAGATATGTTGATTGTTTAAAATGATTATGTTAAAAATATTCAAAATAATATTCCATTTCTAAGAGACATACAAAGTGTTAAGTAATAAAGTTGACATAAATGTAACACATGAAAACGTTATAAAAATAATAACATATAGGTTGTATGTTAATTTTACATTGAAGTACTAATCAAAATGTGTAGTAACACAAGAAAATTTTAACATACGGATGCACAATTTTTTACTGTGTATACATTTCTGATTTCTCATACATTTCCCTCGTAAGTGTCTTTCCTAATCTATATCTTCTCCGAGAGGGATCATCAACTTTTAACTCGAGCTCCCTCGTGGGCCTCTATTATTACAATAAAGAATGGCAGACAGTACAGGGCAATATCGGACGCGGCGCGGATGCTCGTCACGATCAAACGAAATCGCCAAAGGAAAAAGCGACGCGGTCCGTTTCTTCTGATAAGCCTTGAGGGCGACGGATGCGAGAGAGAAGGACGGAGAACCGCTGCAGGAAGTAACAGCTGGCCGAAGGGATAGCAACATCAGCAACAGCAGCGACGGCGACGGCAGTACCATTACCATCATCCCAGCTAGATATCTCCTCTCCGGGATTCTTGTACATACGAACCGGCAAACGTATGCGCGCACACACGCGTGTGTCTTTCGCGATACCGGCGAAAGACGTATGCACATACGTTGCATCGTACGTCGCTAAACTCGCCGGCAAGATTGCGCTCGTCGCGGGAGGGTCGAGTGACAGTCGCGTGCAATCACAGCGCGACGCTGATTAAACATTCGCGTGTCGCGCATATGCGCACGTTGACGGTCTTTAACCTTGGGTATGTTCGTAAAGATTGCCAACATCCTCCAACCTGTACCTATGACGTAGGTTTCTAAGGCGTACATCCGATACCGATTCATTTTTTTCGATCTTTTCTTAAGCGTTACTAATTATTGCAAGAATCTGACATGATGGTCACATCCCATACACATGACATCGATATTACAGTTATTTTGCCGCCACAATAATGAAATTATAGCGGTCTGACAATAATCACATTTGTTAATTACTTCATTATAATCTATTTACATAATTGCATTGTTTATGTATTATTTGCATGTGATTTACTCTTGCATAATTGTGATCATAATTTTATACGGGATATGCGGTCGATACGTTCGTATAAATTTTGAATTGAGGAGGACCGTGAGAGAGAAAGGGAAGGCGAGGGGAAGAGAGAGAGAGAGAGGGAGGGGGCAGAGAAGGAGAGAGACAGTTCGATTCGTTCAGGAATAATTAATCTCTGTTTCATCGCGTTGTGTGCCCACTTAATCGCAAGTGCATTGAGACATCACGATTCGAAAATGGATGGATGCTTGCACCCGCATTCGTGCCATCATAATACCGCGGAGATGCGTGGCAACAATTTGGTATCGTAAAGTCATTAGAGAGACAACCGCGCGTTCTATCAGCTCACTCGGTTGTATTTAATCGCTCTGAATCGAAATCGGGAGGAATTATGTCGAAATGAAATTTGTCAAAACGCGTTTCGATTAACGCGCATTGAAAAAAAGGAAACGTTTGAAGTAGCTAAAGTAATTAATTAAATTTGTGTCTGGTGTGCTTTACTTTGACTTCCGACTCGCGTGGAAAACGACATCAACGCTAATAAATTGATAGCAAATAAACAACAGCGGAGAGAACGGGCAACATTTATCACACATTTACGGCGTATTACAATCGAATAATATTATTACAAATGTTACAACGCGAATTTACAGATCGTAATTAAGCATTGTCCTATTTGCTCGCTTATCAACCGGCCAATTAATTCGTCGGTAGACAACAGAAAGAAACGCGCGTGACAAATTATTATTAAACCAATGAGAAAACGATGATTTATATTTCCCATATAAATATATGCTTCTACATCTCTCCCTGTGGAATTACACTCCAAAATGGGGATAAAAAATAGGTTTTTATTTTTTTCTCAAATTTGGGATAAGTTAAAGAAATAAAATTAGGTGGATATTTTCTAATAAAAAAGGTTATTAATATATTAATTATTAATATTTAATTATTAATATATTTTTTTCAGGCTTTTGTATCGTTATAAGGAGATGAAACTAGTAATCCATATTTAATTTTTTATTAGAATATTTTTAATGTTTATATGAAAAACCCCCTTAATTTTCGACAAAGAATCATATCTTAAAATTGTTTGCACTTATTAAGAAACACTCTGTATAATTTTGAGAAACGAGCGAGAGAGAGAGAGAGAGAGAGAAGCACTCGATCGAAGAACGCAAAATTGCAATTCCTATCAAACCGATTACTGTAAATTTTGTATGTAATCTTCATAGTTATCTTCTGATTTTCTCTTCCTTTTTTCAATCGTTCGCGCGGCCATCGAGGGATACGCGCAAACGCTATTTTGCGCGTATCTCGTATATGTGTGTAATCGCCATCCGCGATCTTCTGGCAGTTACCAGAGGCCATCGGAGGAGATTTTTCACGTGGGATATCACGGCGCTCTGTGTAACTATGACCTCGCCCTTTATGCAGGCAGCGGAAGGCGTCTGTGTGTACTCAGGCTCCCCATCATATCGCGTAAGCCGTGAGGCAGCTTAGTTTGTCGAGAGTTCAGGTACAGGTAATTACCTACTGGCTACCGGCGTCAGGTGGTAGTGACACGGTAGCGTCGACCTCTTCCTCCTCCTTCTCTTGCTATTTACCACGCTCTCTCTCTCTCTTTCTCTTTCTCTCTTCCTCTCTCTTTCCTTCGACACACCTCTGTTCTATGTATTTACACGCACCCACGCAAAAATGCCTTGTGGCGATCGGTTCCATTAGCTTAATGGGATCTCTTCTACCTTTCCGCCAACAGATTGACCGTCTTATCTGACGGTTCCCTCATGCTGTTTACTCTAACGGAAAGTTCGAGTCCTGCATTAATTATTCGGCACCTCATTACACGTTGTTTAATCTGAAGATTAATTATTTTAGCGATAGTTGCGAGAAATATGCAGTTCCTGATTTAAGATAATAATTGGTCGTAAAATATGTTATTCATATAATTTATGAAGAGTTTGAACGCATAAGAATAAGTATATTCGAACATTTCGTATATAAATCAATGGTTACACCTACTTATAATTGCATTAAACATGCGCATTAACATATCCACGTTGATAGCATCGCATTATGCGTTTTAATGCACATTTATGAGATACCTGCGGCTGCTCTTCAATTATGAACGAGCTATGGCGCTTGTGTACAGCTATAGCTATATGGTAAAGTCAGAAATTCCTCGACGATGCGAATCATAATGATAGCTCTTCACTTCTGATATTATTTTAGCATTATGATTATATTATTGGCATATTTTTACAAATTAGATAATCGTGATTGTTTCTAAACAGCATCGTGAAAATTTTTACAAATTATATTTCGACAAATTTGGACTTTTCAAGTACAACATGCAGCTTTGCACATATTGCTCTCAACATTTTTAATATTTATTATTTAATATTTAATTATTTTTATAACTTTTCTGATATGCAATTTTCTTAATATATTATATTTTTAATACCTTCACATATTCATTTGGCTAGAGAAAGCCACGTTAAATTAAAAATAAGTATATTAAATATAACTGTATTAAATGCTTCCCTGCAAATTAGAATTTCGATTTCTTTCATTGTGAAAGGATCAAAACTTCTCTCTCCCTCGTTGAAATATTTATATGAGTTGCCAACAATTTGTCAATCGATCGATCGAAATAGGATGCGACAAAGGAACTCTCTCTCTCGTCAGCATTGACGAAGGACCAGACTTTCGGCAGACTCTCTCTCGTTGATCGACGTTATACGAAATACGCCACGGGGGTTTAGTGTCTGTAACATTTCGTTATCGGCATACTCGGTATGCCCCCGTCGTTTTCGCCACGCATGCCGCGGGCGTTTCACGGGAGATAACGCGTTACGCGCACGCACACCGGAACAAGACAAGGCGGATGACACGGCCCGTAATTGCATGTTATCCGTTGCATCAACGCGTGGGCATGTGCGTGGCCGTGTGCGCAGGTATGCACGCAAGTATGCATACGCGTTGTGCGTACGCGCGTATTTGTGCGGAAGAGTGCGTGCTGCCCGTTTCACGTGCGCCGTGCCTCGACGTCCCAGGATATGCGACACAAAGTGGGACGTTTGCGGCGACGCTTGCCGTGCTTTTCCGTGCTCTTGTACGCTTCGCTGCATGTATTTCAAATGTAAATAATGCCTGCGCTTCTCGTCCGTGACTTTATTGAACAGCCCATCTTCAAAGAGTCCCGGATCTCAAGTCGTGCGATGAAAGATAGCTTTATCTCTGGTATCGAAATATATTATTCAATGGTATCATTTATGTACTAATGAAAAATATTGTAAATCTCTGATATCTTCAAACATTTTATCGGAAAAATTTCGAATTAGAAATCCAAGTAATAGTACATTTTTTTTATTCTAATAGAGAAATGTTTATATGCTCTTATTTTATATATATCTCTCTCTTCATCTTATATATACAATATAGAAAAATTTTATTTACCTTTAATTAGACTACTATTAATCATACAATACAGATTTATTAATTTTTATTATCAGCATCATGTGAGAAATTTCCTAAAACATGTATAAAAGATGAAAGATATACCTTTCACATATAATGTTTATAATAAAAATTAATAAATCTATAAATTCTATGATTAATTGACAGTGAAACATAAAGAATTAAACACAATAATTTAATTGAAGATAAATAAAAATTTTCTTTACATAGAGAATTAACTGAATTTATTATTTTTGAGTGAAATATATGTCTGGATGTCAGGACTAATTTTTATTGCAGCACCCTCTGCCCCGAGGGAGAAATCCTCGCGGGAGGAAGTGGCTCAACCAGAGGCGCATTCGCCCTCATCTCAGCAACACCAAAGACTCGGCCAACAGAAACAAACAAATGGTTCTCGGTCGGAATACAAAGGCACATCCGGTTGCTCCAGGTCTTCCGACAACGATAGTCCTTTGCCTTCGCAATCGGTTAAGTCCGAGCTCGAGGAGGGATCCGGTGCTGCCAATGCTGGGGTCAGGACGGACGAGCAGACCGATGGCGCCGCACTGACAAACGGTACCGGCAGTGGTGCATCTAGATGCGTTAGCAGCATCTTCGCCGGACATGGCAAGCTCAAGAGGTTACTGGGCACTCTGGTGCAATTCGCCACCGATATCTCGACGGATACGGGTGACACGGTGCGTGCATTGGTGCTCGCGCTTCTGGTAGGTGAATAATGTTTCTATTACATTTGCCGAGTATAATCGAAGTAAAAAAAAAACGATTGCGGTTACCGAAAATTTTAATTTTGTTGCAACGTATAAACAGAATATACAGCGTACACAGAGTTTCTCGAAGTCATCGGATGTTTTTTTAATAACAAATTTTTTAGTCAATTTAAAGACAATTTTTTCTCAGCAAAATGTGATGATAATGGAGATCATCATTTATAAGTTTCTAATTTTTGTCATTGTATATCTCCGAAATTAAGTCTTAAATTAAAATTCTATTGAAGTGTAAACTCCATTTAACATTAACTAAAAAATATAATTTTACTAATATTTTTTTCTTCATAATATATCAATAAAGTTTTGTTTACCTCTTTCTTTTCAATCGCTTATAATTTGGAAATTATTGATGCTTATTTTTTCCTGAGGAAAAATCACTTCCAAATTGATCAAAAAATTTGTTATTAAAAGGACATCTGGTTTTGGGGCATCGTATAAATAAAGAACATTTTAGATTATATCATATGAGATATTGATATTTTATTATCTCAAAAAATAATATACTTTATATACCTAAGAGTATTAAGTCAATAATACGATTAAATATAAATATAAGAAATTAATACATTTATTAATAATATATACATTAATAAATTAGAATAAATATTGAATTTTTTTAGGAATTTATTTAATTTTTCAATAAATTTTATGGCACGCGCTAAGAATTTATGCGAACCGTTAGCTCTTGCAATCTTTACTGCCTTATCGCGCATTGCATCTGGTATTTGGCCAAGCATCCTCTCAGGTGTATGCGAGATTTTACCGAAGTTATGAACTCTTTCAGTACCAACAATGAGTAACGTACACGTACCAGCTGACAGAGTTTTCTGTCGCGTACTGAAATCGCAGAACTTGCGATACGCATCAGCGTATTTTGTGCAAACGCATTCATAAAGTATGTTGCAGACATCTCTCTGCAACGGACATTATTTTATGTTATCAAAAAATGATTCATATTTTTTTCCATAACCCGATGATAAAAGTGCAACATGGAGGTTTTATTTTACATAAATGAGGGATTTTTAACGGAATAAATTTTGAGATAATTTTTTGATATTTTTTTGATCGCGGCAGGACACATTTGCATAATTTCATGCTCTGACGATGATAAGATGATGAAAAATCGCGGTCTAACTACAACTCAGCGTCAGATAACGATCTGTGATCTGTACGCGACACGAGATGAGAAAAAAGCATAGTTGATCGATGCCGACCGTGTCGTTAAACAGCTCGTAAATATTCAAAATACGTACATAATGCATAATGTCGTCGTGTGTACCGAGCGTGCATACGTCCCGGAAACGTGACATCTGGTGACCGTGCTTAACTGTAAAACGATCGCGGCACGTGACAAACGCAAAACCAAATCCGACCGAGGCCGCGCGCGCAACTCGTTCCGGAAACGCGTTCCGGTTTCGCTCTACCGATCTTTTTGTCGACGATTCAATTACACCAAGTGGCGACTAAACGTTCTGTCGTCGTCCCGTTAATTTTCAGAGCGGTAGCATGACCGCCGAGGAGTTTCACTCGGCGTTGCAGGAGGCGACCAACTTTCCGCTCAGAAGTTTCGTCTTGCCGTACCTTAAGCATACTTTACCTTCTCTACAGAGGGACCTGAGCAACGCGGCTCGAGCGAATAATCAGGTAAGACAGATTTTTGCATTTATTATTTATTACAGCTGGTCGATAAAACTCGTTTCGAAAAATGCGAAAAATTCCCATTCTAAAAGTGAATCGTGCTATCGACATGATATCGTTTTTTTCCTAAATATAATATTCTTTCATCATTTTTTACAATTGATTTTGTAGTATACAGAGTTTTTATTTCGAAAACGAGTTCGTGCTTTTATAAAATTTCGATTAATATCGGTGACGCAAGTTGTAAGTGAAAAGAATGCTCTTTTAAATTGATTAAAACAGTGACATGATTTTAATACTTATTAATTTTCGTGAACATTATATTGATCTTCAAAAAACTTACTTTGCCTCTCTGTTACGTTTCATTGAAGACAGTAAACGTATTCATAGTCCATTCGTATAATTTAAGATAAGCAAGGTCTGGAAATAATCGACCATTTCATTGGCTGAATATAATTTTAAGAGACTATATTTAAAACAATCGATGATCTTAAATATAAGAATAGATTATGAATATATATATTTACTGAAGAATCAATCGTTCACTGATTCTTCTCAGTGATATTTTAAAGTGCAACTAAGACTGTCAGTAAGAATGCACTGATTCTATTTAAGAATCTGGGTTTCCCTCTATTCGATGAAATGTCACAAAAATGTAATGAGACTAATAGTAACGCCTGATCTGAGAGCAGCCTGACGCTTTATTGGAACCATTACAACGATCATAAATCACTGTACTCGTGTGCAACGTGGCGTAGCATGTAACGATGCATGAAGACGCGCATTCTCCGCAAAAATTTCTATCTCGCAACCAGGCTCTGTCGCAGTCAGAATAAATCGTTCATATATAAATCAGAGCAAAACTTATATTTTAATTCTTTTATAATCATCGTCAAATAATTTAAATTAATAAACGTCTAAAAATTGTTTGACTTATAATTATAGGTGATAGAGAGTTTTCATATATATATATATATGTGTGTGTGTGTGTGTGTGTGTGTGTATCTCAAAATTTATATCTATCATTATTTAAATCAATTTTTGTGACATCTTTTCTATTAAAAATGCGTCTTTTCTATTAAAAAAATCTACAACTTGCTACCAGTTGTATATATAAAAAAGACTTGTTATTTTATTTGTAGCTGTTGCATTTTGTGCAGAATACGCGACAATTTTATTTTGCAGTCACGCGTTTAATTAATGATAAGTTTTTTATTGCACTCTCTGATAAATATCGCGACGAAAAAGGGAGATGAATTCCATGGAACATTATGCCGCTGTTGGCGGATCGATGACGCATGTGGACGATTCTCGTTCCAAAAGATCCGTGGAATGCCCGGCATTTCGAAGGAGGGAAGATTACTATACGAGCAGTGTTTGTTATGCGGAGATCGGTCCACGTCCTCCCGAAGATGCCGCGCGTGTCTGATCTCTCTCTCTGTCTCTCTTTCTCTTTCTGTCTTACTTGGGTCGCGCGTCGGCCCATAAATTTGTATGCACTACTGCGCTTGGGTGAGTGCAGGCGCCATCCCGAATCCTTTCACGTGTTTGTCTCACCGTGACATTGTTGTCAGGATGCGGAAACACACAAAGTATGTCGTTCAAGATAATGCACAAGTCGCCGTGGATTCATGCAAAACAATGCGCTTTTATTTCTCTTCTTTCTAGATGCTTCAAAGAGAAATAAAGAGTTGTCTCGTTTCATTAACTTGAAAAATAAAAGTTACTCATAATAAATGTAGTTTGTGAATATATATAAATTTTACGATAAAGATTCTCTTTACGATAACGAAATTAACAAAAATAGTAGGATAAATTTTTATCTTCTGTAATTGTTATTAACGCGATTATTTGTGTTAAACGATTCTCATTATTTTTTACATGAATATAATTTCCAAATGTCACTGTAGCCTAATGCTTGGATTCGCACCTCTCATGAAAAAGTGCTAGTTAATTATTCATTAGTTAAATTTTAAACCGAGCTCTAAGCAGCTAGCACATCAGATGCCAGTTTCCCAGATTATAAAATTCATTTTCCAAACCAGCAACTGCAGTAGTGCATTCCCTTTATTTCTTTGTGGTTTCGCAATATTTAACTAACTCGATTGTGATGAGGTAATTACAACAATGTTAAAGAATTATGCAAATATATTATTTCATATATAAATTCAAATATTGTCTTTATAAATATTTTATATATAAATTCAAATATTGTAAGAGTAACGATCTTTTTCCAATTTATACGCGCGCACGTCAAAGAATTCAACGTTGAACAATGCAGGAATTATAAGTGACGGTCTTTCATCGTAGATTATTACTAGGGAGAAAACGATTTTAAATATGCCGTGGAATCTGCGTGAGAAATTGCGTGTTAGATCCAGGACACTTTCCGTATGACGAGTGCGACGCGGGAGGACCCGCGTAAAATCAACAGAGGCAAGGTTGGCCGGCTGGTGGGTTGTTTTATTTTCCCAGGCTACTTTCCGATCGTCGGTGGGAGCACGCCAGTCTGTTCCAAGATGGATGAACAATTCAGAACGAGACGAGCGGCTTGGGAAAAAACGCTATGATTTTTGCTTCCTGAATCTCTCGCAGAAGGAAAATATTACAATAGATATACACGAGATACAGAATTTGTCGTGATATTATGCGTGATTCCGTGTTTATCAAGCTGTATTTAATTTTTTGTCGATGACAGGAAGAAATATTATACATAAGTATAATATGCATGTATTGGCTTCATTGATCCTTCGTTTATCAAATGTTTTCCATGCGGTTAAAAAGTTCGCGAAGAGTTATCGTAATGCGATCGTAAATCTATGTGAAATGTACTTTTTTTTTTAATGAAATAATTTAGGCTTTGGTGGAAAGAATTGCTCGGGGAAGAACCGATTAAATAACGTTGCATTTCAGAGAATTATACCGGAGCTCGGAACTGTTCGTCTGTAATGTATATAATCTCGTCCTTAAAATTATCCCTTGCATGCAATTTTCCTCGCTAAATCCGTGGATATACGATTTAATCCGGTCTACTTTGGCCATCCATGTACGCATCGGTTGGTTTGAATATCCGGTATCTCGTAATCATTAATCTGCGTAAAAAAAAGCAAAGACATGCTACATGTATTTTATATCGGGCGGTAACTTTTACGCGAATTCACGGGGACTTAACATTAAAAGAAATGTACGTTAGCGCTTTTCTATATGCGATTTTTACGGATATAAACTCTTTTATAGTATAAAACTAAAAATATTTTTATACAAAAGAAATTTTTGAGCTTTTACACACGCACATTCGCTTATAATATCAGAAAAGAGCGAAAAGTGTAATATTTTCTAGGAGATCAATAGAACGATTTACAGTGTAATTATAAAAATATTAAATTATGAAGCTATATATTACAAATATATAAAACAATTTAAAAAAATAAAATAACCAAGTAACATAATAACGTAGTTTAACAAAAAATAATTTTCTTGACACAAGAACAAGATTAATTATTTTCCGTACTTTTCCGTACTGTTGAATATGATTCTGCTTTTTAAATTGCTCCATTACATCACAATTTTAGAAAATTTGTAATTAAAATAAAAAAAATTATTTTAATATATTTTGTCATGTTATAACTGTGCGATATATAATGTGTTGGAGAAGTTTTATTCCAATTAAAATTAAGAAGTTAGGATTTTCAATCCTCAAAAGGACTCTATTGTGTCGATTATAGTTGATAAGATATTTATGATAAAATATATATATCTAAATTATTTCGTTAAAAATATGAAATTCATTGCGGAAAAGTGCATTTGGATTCATTGATTTAATTTTTAATTATATTCATTTAAACTTAAAGAGGTTTTCATCTTCTGAATAACAAATCTAATGTCAAATTGACATATTCAAAATATATACATAAATTTTTGCATATATATGTACATATGTAAATTTTTGCTAAAATCCAAACACATTTTTTAATTTCGATATCCCATATTAATTCCACTAATTTAAATTTGCATCAGATTCGTACTCAACAACCTAAAAGGCCCTTAAGTTTAAATGCAATGTAACTGAAAACTATTTTGCATATATAAATTCATCATATCATTCGTAATTTTTCCTCAATAGAATTCATATTTAAATACAAATATCTTATTGAGTAATCGACACAAGAATTCCTTCATAATAAAAAGTCCTAAAATAATATATTTAATTCTGTGATTGCAATAAAATTTCTCCAACATGCCACATGTAACTTATAATGACAAAATATGTTGAAATACGTAACTGTTTCTTGCAATTTTAATTTTAATTTTTTGAAATTATGTATGATGTAATGTGATGGAGTTTGGAACGAAATCATAACGTCAAAAAAAGAAAGTAACTAATTTTGTGTTCTTACATGTTTTTGTTGAAATATGTAGTAAATATAATAAATAGGAATCTTTTTTTTCGCAAAATTCTAAATAATGTTGATTATTTTTCGAGGCGTATATACAATTTTGAACAGATTTCTTTGTGGAATATCAGAATTGTAAAACTGAACGGTGCAAACGCGATGCAACGCGAGCACCGATATAAAGAAGCAGGCTCGTTATTTTCGACCAATCGATACGCACCGCACTGCGACTTTAATTTCTGCGACATCGCGAAATTCGGGCTCGAGGGATTAATAGGATCCTTCCGCTCACGCTACTGTCCGCAGCTGTTGCCCGTCTCGAAGGCGAGTGAAACGGAAAGAGTGAGGCGCACCAGGCGACAGAGAGCTCTCGGTGAGGTATAACGAATTGCAAATTAATAGTGAGCATTTACATTTCTGTCGGCAGGATGAAGGCGTCGTAAGGATCGAAAGTACGACGCCTTGGTTTTCCGGTTTTCCCTGAGCCTCGGTATCTCCTCTGCGATTGCGAAGCTTGACGTCATATAAATCCTAGAAACTTTTTACGACATTTGTACCTTTTAAAAATTGATACGAGACAATTAGCAGTTTAGATTAGCACATTTAAAAATGTACAGTTGATATTTCTACGATTTGAACGACTAACGTTATGTGATAAATATGTACTATTAAGATTTTTATATTATCAGAAAATAAAATTTTAGTCAGTCAAATTTTGTTAAAGTGTCAACAAGTAATATTAGCATTTATAAAAAATAAGTGTGGACCCAATATATGTTTTATATTAGTTATATGCTGATAGATTCCCTACGTTTTGGCTATGTACTTTTAGAAAAAATCTGACTTATTTAATTGTTTTATTCGCGCAAAATTGCCTCTCTTTCAAGAATTCTGTTATCGTCAATTTTCAAGCGGAAACATTTAAAATCGATCAAGTACTGTTCGCGAATATTTTCACACAAGTACAAGCTGCACAAGTGGTCATCGCGTGTACCTGGACCCCCGATCGATGACCGTTAATTGCGAGTCGTGAAAACGAAAGAGCTCGAAAGGAAGGAAACGAGGGGAGTACGGGAGGTGGTACGGAAGGTACCGATATTGAATTAGAAGCGATAAATCCCACCCTGCCATGCCGACTTCTGAGTATTGGGGGCAAGAGAGAGCACGACGGAATAAGGGGCTCGACGGGAACTTCGACTAGATGGGCGCGAGTGGCGAGAACGGCGATAAAGAAAGCAGTGAAACGAATATTAAAAGTCGAAACCGATGCGATCAGGCGAGCCAATCAGTTTCAGGAGTGAAAAGATCTAGCATATTTCTCAGCATCCTCTATAATTTATTACAACTTTTTGATAGTTCACAAACCATAGTTTTAGAAACTGATATAAAATTATAATATATAAAATATATAACATATAATTATATATAGATATATAGATATATAGATAAGAAACGTTTAAAATTATCTGATGACATACGTGTTTTAATCAAATTTTCTAGAAAAAGGAATATAATAATTTGTTATCATTTTTTTTCTAGAAAATTTGATTAAAGTTAAGACACATATATCATAATTTTAAACGTTTCTTTGTATTATAGAATAAATGCAGCGATTTAAAGTGATGATAATGAAGGGATTAACAGAATCTCTTTTTACAGAGCTGTGTGCAATTTCTCCGATCCAACGAGTCCGCTGTTTTGGAGACCGTAGGGCTGGTCCCATCCGGCGAATCCGTCGAGGTGTTTGGCGAGCACGGGGGTGCGAACGGAATCGGCGGCGGTAATCAGTGCTCGGCTCATTATGCAATGCGCTCGAATTCTAATCCCGGCGTAGGTGCCATTCAGCACGTGGCGGGCAGCAACGCCACGAGCGCGTTGCATCATTATTCCGGCGCTCATACAACGAAACGTCGTGCCTCTGACACTCCGTGAGTGTGAATACACGTAATTTTTTTTTTCCGTGTATTTTTATCGATTTTCAATCGTGGACCACGGTTATCAAGAGGAGAACATCGATAGATTTCTGAATTGATCGTGATCGAACTTTGTCTCTTTCTGATCAATTACAGGAAACTTGATTGATAATGGACAAAATATTAAATGAAGCTCGGAATGGGGCTAAGAAAGATTGTGAAACACTAATTCGTGAAGCAATTTTATTATTGAACCAAAATCATGATCGTATAACTTCCGCGATAATTTGGCAATGCAACAATCGGTTTAAATAATATATTATATATATGTATAATATATATGATATAATATTTGAGTGTTTTTATTCTCAAAAATTAATGCTATATATGGATAAGAAATTATGAAATATGAAAACGTCATTGTAAAGTTTCATCTTTGAGTTCAGTATGTCTGTGCCTGTGTTTTTTTGTTCATAGTTTTATAAGAATATATTGGAATATTTAAATCGAGAAATTTTTTTATCAAATAAGTAATCACGTCTTTCAGACCATATCTTTTATAATTATGCTTATTTTCAAAATGAATGCAATTTACTGAAAATGATTGAAGATTGAAAGAGCAAACATAATAATTCTTTTTCTTCTCTCTCTTTCTTTCTTTACATACGTTCGACAGAGAGAAATAGACACAACAAGGGCACATACATTATCGCACAAATTGCATCTCGCGCGGAATGATCTCATGGAATCTTCGCCATAACGATAATTCACACGATAACGAAGGCCACACATCTGCGCGTACACGCGCGCATACTACGTTTGCCAAGCCGCAAATGTGCCGGTCGTTTCGGAAAAATCTTGGCCGCTGGCCTGCATTTCTTGCCGATATTTATTGCGATCAAGCACCCATTAATGCGAAATTACCTCCTGTTTAACATTTCATTGGTATTAATGCCTCGCACAAAAATATTTCAACGCGCTAAAGACTTCAGCGATCTCAATTCGCGATTTAAAAAAAATATGTATTTTAACTTTATATATTTTAAGTCTAAAACAAACTTAAGCACTCTCGTGAAAAATTCTTCGAATCGAATTTTTCTTATATTCTCTTATGTTATGTAAGTAATCATTAACAGTAATCATTAACAGTAATCATTAATAGTCTTCAAATTATGAGCGATTGATAATAGATGTAAAAGAAAAAGAAATTATTTTGGATCTTCTTAATGTACAAATTCCACGTGTCATCTTCACCGCACATCCGAAGTGTTGATGAAATCAACGCCGGACGGCCAGAATTTCCGCTCAGGATGATATGCGCGTGGATTGGAAGGAGAGGGAGACACCATGAAGCGAATACGAAGGCGACAAAACGCGGTGTGCGCCCTGGCAATGCCTCCTCTCGATATGTCTGCCGGTGACGTTTCCATATATCATCGGGGCACCACCTTTCCCGAACACCACCCCATCGCGTTCTTCCCTCCTTCCCCCCACAGTTACCCCTTCGTCCACGAGTACCGGCGAACTTGCCTCGAGTGCCTATCGGCATCCTGCTAATACACATCGCATTGCAGCATGTCGGCAAACGTGGGTGTAGGCGCATACACATAGACAGTCGTCTTTGATTCACAGGCAACCTCCACGCGATACTGAATGCCTAAACAATCCGCCGTGTAAGAATAGAGAGGCGCTCTAAAACGAACAATACGGGAATCGAGCGAGTTTTAGAATATATGTTCGCCTGCCAAAAAATGCATGTGTCCTTTAATTTTTCTAATGCTTTTGGTTGTGATACAATATAATAATTAGATTAATTATTTCAAAACTGAGTCTTATATCTTATATTATAATATTGATTCTTGTTTCCTTCCGTTAATATTAGTGAATTTTAACAGATACTACGAGAATGGTGTTCTCTTGGACGATATGCCAGTGTATGGCAAGAGGTCTACGAATCCGTGGAGCCATCATCATCAACAGCAGCAGCAGCAACAACAACAGCAACCAACGGACCCGTCTTATTGTTGGTATCATCCGTTGCACTCTGCGGGCGGCTCAATTCAAAGTCACGCGCATGGTCATGGTCCAAGTCCGGTACCACCTAGTCTCGTGCAGATTAATCAGATAAACGCATTCTCCACGCCACATCATCTGACCCAGCAGTCGCAACAGCCAATGGGTCACGGTTTGCAAACGCAGAATGGCGGTAGTCTTGATGACGAGTGGAAGAATATTTATGTGATGCTCAACTGCATCCTCGGCATGGTCGAGAAAACGAAGAGAGCATTGGCGATTTTGCAGCGACGAGGATGTTCCAGTCCAGCAGCCGCGGCGCCACCGCCAGTAGTGGTCGCGGCGCAGAATGGCACCAGCAACAACGGCAACGGCAATAATCCTTCGTCGACTAACGGCGCACAGGTTGAATCGTCCACCGGTGATCGGGATGGCAGTTTAAAGCGATTGTCCGGCGAGATCGTCGCGCAGACGATCAGAGCGACTGAAGACAGAGTGGCCGAGGTCAAACGAAGAGCCGGTATTTTCATAAAAAATTCACAAATCTTTGATTATACCTGAAAGTTGTACGATACAATTCTTCGAGTTTTTACTAAATTTTTAGCTGACGTTAGACATGTATCTGTGTTATAAAAATATTATTTGAAATGATGGAATATATATTAACAATTAAATAAGATGATAATATAAATTATGATATAGGATGTTTAATCAGAAATCGGTTTCCTTGAAATCTTTAGAGGAAGCTGTGTTAGAAGTGAAAAGAGCCGCGATGGCAGAAGTGCAACGCGCCGTGGCAGTTGCAGTTGCGGAATCGAGGGCGAACGAACGTTTGAGGGTTCATCGACTACTGGACCTTCCATTATCGCAAAGGAATCACGGCAGTCTCCGTCAAGGTCCGTTTCTAAGGGTTCACGGAAGCTCGAGCGCGGTAGAGACTAGCGCTAGAAATGTAACGACGCCGACAACAACGACGAATTCGGCACCGTCAACTACTGAAGACGAAAAGGACATTCATCTGACCAACATGATGGGATCCGTATGTATAATCGCATTAATCAATTATCTTTTGGAAAAAATGTTAAACATATAAAAAAATATGGATGTATCTATATATATATATATATATATATATATATATAAATTAATTAATTTATGTGTATTAAATTGATCTCTTAGCTTATTAATTTTTCTTATGCGATAGGAAATTTATCTAATTTATCTAATTTATCTAAAAAAATATCTATTTTTTTCTAAATATTTTTTATTTTTCACTTGATTTTTAAATGTTTATGTCAAATTAAATATTAAATTATTTAAATAAGAATGAGACTCTATCTCATCAGTAGAGTTCCAATCGGGAAATTTTCCATGTTTTTTCCAGAGTTGTTGGAATTGTGGTAGGCCCGCCCTGGAAACTTGTGGCGGCTGTGGGATCGCCCGGTACTGCGGTTCGTTTTGTCAGCATCGCGATTGGGAAGCCGGTCATCATACGACTTGTAACAACTTGCCACCGCGTGAGCCACGAAGGTCGGCTTCGCGTAGTCCGCCGAGGGTCGTTGCCACGAATCTTTCCACGAGCGTTAACGAAGTCGACGCCACGCCGATAGCGTCTGTATCGAAGGGAAAGTGACGTCGCAGTGCTAAAAACAACCGATCAAACAGATCCATCGACTACGATTCGCGTTAATTCGCGAATCCCACAAGAAGTCTTTTCTGTAAAAAGTGGATGAATTTAAACGAATAGGAAAGTTCATTGAAAATTTGAATGATTGATTTTTGAAAGCGAGAATCAATCTATTAGATTTTGTTTCTCTTTTTATTTAATAATTGTGAGAGAATGTCGTTTAAAAGGAAAAAGCGGAAAGAAATGTAACAATTCTATAAAGGTAATTAATTTTTGAAAATATTAAATATTTCAAAAAGATTTCTTTCGCCCCAATTTTGTTTAATTCGTCCATTTTCTGCAGATTCTTCACCGATCATACATCTTCTGCGTACTCTCATTGTTGTGTCCTTTTCTTTCTCCGAAACTGAGATTTCTTTTCTAATATATCTGGAAATATGGACGAGTCTGAACAAGAATCTAATTAAAATAACTGAGTAAATTGAATATTCGCTTGTGACAAGAAGAGAGCATTGAAATATGCTGATTCGACATACGATCAAGTATTCTCTGAATATTCTCTAGTCCCGGCGTTTCAATTAAGCGATAATATACAATAGTAAATGATTATTTAATCGATTAGAAAAATACAAATCTTTATGACCGATCAGCTTTGATATCCCATTTTTGAATTATAGTATATAATAATAACAATGCAAAGGTTTAAAAGATATATCTAAAAGATATTGGAGCACACTTTCTGAAAATTTGTAAACTTTTCAGATAAAATCGATTTTTTGCACTCTTTGAATGGAACGTTGGGTGTGATAAAAATGTGTTTTTAGAATTTATCAATTAACCATACACAAAATGAACGACTGATTTCACATCAAGTAGCATAACCGATCGCATAGGTGTTTACGTTGTGTCGGATAGATAACGCCGACTAAATATGCACAGCACTGTCGTAAATGTACACGTTTATCAGCATCATGTGTCAGCTGCTTTTTATCATCTATCAAATCGTAAATTTTCGCAATCCATTTATTATCTAGGATTAAAGCAAACAATAGGAATAATGCATGTCTTAAACGTGTTTTCTGCAATTGAAAGAATAATAGATAACACAGATTGAATCTCTATATCTTCGATCGATGAATTGCAGACGTGCATTTCGTACTGCTTCGAATCGACGTTAGCAGTAAATATAACATTATGAAAATAATTCTCCTGTTAGCGTAGATATCTTCGTTCCGTCATTAACAATTTAAATTCTTTATATATACGAAGAGTTGAAAAACGCACTCGTCCAAAAATGCAAATTTTTTTCGGATGGAATTCAGAAAATGTTTTTTTTTTGCTTGTTCATAACAATCTGGTAAAACACAATATATTTTCTGTTCAGAACAATCTGGCGAAAAACACAAAATATCTTTGATATCAGTTGAATTTATGTATATAAAATTATGACGAGTTAGTTTCTATTTTTGTAAAACGATTAAGTACTATGTGTTAATTTACATGATAATGTAATTTTTATTGTATCTCAATATTACGCAGAAAATCGTTATGAAAATAACGTAAATATATTGTACAAAATAAAATTGATATGTACACACACATAAAATTACACAGATACACAAAAAGTGATTTAATTTTATTGCGTATCTACGCTGTTCTCGATGTTTCATATGCGAAAAAATGAATCGCATCGACTTTATCCTAGTCAATTGATAGGTTTAATGATTGTAATGAGATTAATGTAACTTAGATTCTCGAATCTTTTACTTTATGCGCACACACCTCAGGATATATAATTATCACATATATTTAAGTCTAGTCACACATAGAGAAAGATGAAGTGAATTTATGGATCATACGCATTAGGAAATTTTGCTCAAATCTAGATTATGAATTATTGTAATTCTTCCTAGGCATATTGCGTTGCGGGGATGTATGATATGGATATTATAAAATGTATTTGTAAACTAACGAAATATAATAATTATTCTATGTCAGAACGTAAAAAAAATAATACGAGCGGATCTTTTCATTGTACCTTACTATTATTTAGACAAAAACAAAATAAATTTAATTGTATAAATCTAATTTTTCGATTAAATGTATTCTGCGTTTTTGATTTTAAATAATCTTAAACATAACATTTTTCGCGAAAATAAGGGGAATTACTTAGATAATTATAATTATGTGTTTATACTCGATTTTATCTATTCTTCAAGAATTAATCAACATAATGAGATAATACACAAATGTTGCTATTTATTTAATAAACATATATATATATATATATATATATATATATATATATATATATATATATAAGCAATCGTTATATTGTGACATGTAATATTATATTTTTCATTTTCTAGGAGTCTTTCCGATAATATCTGCAAACAACGCTTTAGTTTTCTCCTCTTTACCTTGCGATTCCGACCAGTCCTTTTTATTTCTTGCGAATAATGGAACGTTCAGTTTTGCAGAGATAATCTTACCTGATTTCGTGGATTCTAAAGATTTTCCAGCTGTAGCCAATTCTTCCATAATAAAGATCTTTTGATTCATACGCGCCCATATCCACATTTTGTCCACACATCTAGATCCATGTGTGCTTTTTGCTAATTCTGCCCAAATACCTTGCAATTTTTTATATAATTTTTCCCTGCTCTTTTCGCCAATGTATTTGCTGTCCATGAAAGCATCCAGGATTCGACTGCCTTTTGGATCACTGAATAATTGCAATAATTTTTCATTGTTCATCTCTAATAAGGAATTCACAATTTTGATAGGTTTGTTGAAATTCAGTATGGCTTGTGTTATTAAACTTCCATGTAAGTTGAATTGTTGTGTATTATTTTGAATAGCTTTTAGTTGAGCTGAATCTTTTAAAGTCACTATACACCATACAAGATGTGTCTGATCATCTGTAGATGTATCACATTTCAGCAGCTTGATCATTGCATTTACAAATGCACCTTGTTTTGTTTGCAATCTTAAGCATGCATTTCCAGTGCTGACTAATATCCCAGTGAAACCTTGCTTAAGAATTTTCGGAAAGTATTCTGATATTTTATCAAATATTTCTTCAAAGAGTTCCTTGGTAGTGCAATAATCTAATAATCTTTGTACACTAAAATTGGTATTCTGTGTCACACACAAATGTTCCAAATTTTCAGCAAAATATGTATTATATAGTTTTGTGAAAGTTTTTGGCTGTGCTATCATTAAACAAGCTTCCAATAACCTACTAGAGGATTCTGTGTTAAATATATTCAATAGCTTTTTGTCTTCATCTGTTTTAAAACATTCTTTTATAATTTTCTTAATAATGGTTTTTGTTAAATTTTGGTCAATATCTTTCAAAGAATACAAGATACATTGTACTAAGCCAGAAGTAATTTCTTGCTGCCCAAATTGATAGAATTGTGGCCATTTCTGCAAACGATCGCAACTTTGTATTAACAAATCCTTATAATCTTGTATCACAGGACGCCTCTCTGTGAGATGTGGCACAGTAGATTTCTTATTATTTTCACTATCCTCAATTAATCCTCCTAAACATTTGACGACTGTCCGTAACACGTGATTAGCATAAGTGTCAAACACAAATTCCTCTATATTGTTAAGAAAATATTTGCTCAGCTTCAGAACAATATCGTTGTAAGAATTTACTTCAGATGGCTTAACTTCAATGACAGCATCGATAGCTTTTCTGTCCAATTTTGTCTTATTCGTTGCAACCTTATTTGTGATTGATGTAGAGATTTGATTGCCTCTGTCAGCACAGATCATTATTACTTTTTGTAAAACATGACTAGCACACTTATCGCTGCTCAACTGCCTTAAAGAGGATTCAAATGCCTGTATCAATTTCTGAATTATTTCTAAGCTAGCGTATTTCAGGAGAGAATCCATGACATAAGATCCGGTTTGATTACGCGCGCAATTGACTTCATGGCCTGTCATCTCCTGGTAAACATTCTGCACAAATATCAGTTTTTCCTCAGAAGAAGAGAAATCTTTGCGCATCAACTCGACAATACGAATCATGTACTGATAGGTGTCCTGGTCCAAATTATTACTCGAGTTTCTCTGACGAGCAAATTTTTTTGCCATTTGCGCGTGAGAACGTTTCTTCTTTCGTTTTGTCCCACAAACCTCTTGTGCTCCAGTCATGTTCCTCGATTTGACGATTAACGTACCTGATTTAGAAGAAAAATAGGTACGTTTAGAGAGCTCAAGTCAACACACACTGCACGATTTCTCTTTCTTTTACGGACTCTTTAATATTATGTGTTTACTATTCATGTGAATACAAAAACGATTTAATTAATAATAAAATATCATAATAAATATATGCATTTAATATCATAATAAATAATATCATAATAAATATATACATTTACTTATATAGATATATTTTAAATATATTTACCTAAAGAGATGTATTTATATATTATGTTATCTATGCGAGAGGGCACGTGCTTTCTATAACTTAACCTATTCTTGAAAACAAATCACACGTACATATTCGTGTTTCGAGTGTGTTCTGTTTGATGCAATGAAAGTCGAATCATTTAATTGACCAATAGGATTGAATGACATGAGACAGTTTCTCGTGCTCTGATTGGCCGACATTCAAACGTTGAAACATGGCGGATTCTTGCAGTGTAGTGAACTCGGTACACGAAATATTTTTTTTAAATATTAATTTAATATTAAAGAAATATTTGTTGTAAAATATACTTCAACATTACTATATCGTTTTTGTATTGTTTCCGAGTTTATATCGCGTTTTCGAACAAATTTCTGCTGTATTAAATTGATAATTCTAAGGTTTTTAATATGAGTATTTTACGGTGGCGCTGCTGATTCGCGCCTAAAAAAATATTTCTCGCGATGACGTATATCCGGTGCGTGTATATCGTACATTTTGTCCTATTCCGCGAGTGTGAGTTTAAAAAAGTTGATAAAAGAAATGAAAAAGTGAAAATCTTGCTGAATTCTGCATCATCCAACACTTCAAAAGCTACGGAACTTTATAATATGGTGTTTCCTTGACTTTCTTTCTGAATTTTTCGAGTGTTTGAGGATAAGTAGCATGCAGCCTACCGCAGCGGTTTGGGAGAGCGTAAAAAATGGTCTTCTTCAGGAACTTCTCCGACAATACAACGCGTTTGAGTGAGTAATGTGTAAATTATATAATTATTTGGTAGTTTTTATACATATTATCATACCATTGCTGAATCTTTTTTCTTATCTTCTTCCGAAATCATTCTTATTAGAGATGTTGATGCAAATATGTTTATGAATTATTTTGAACATTATATATATACATATATAATTAGATTCTTTTTACATTTATTTCTTGGTTATACATTTGTTCCTGTACATATTATTCTTCTTGTAGTTTTTTTCTCGTAAATATTAATAATTGTTCGAAAAATTCAGAAATATTGGATATACAAACATGAACGATACTAATTTTTTATAATTAATTTCACATCAGCAATGTTTGATTATCTTTAAATTTACTGAATCTATTTGGATATATATATATATATATATATATATATATATATACACTTATAATTATTCAGAATATTAATTATTAAAATATTTTGTAAATGTTATATTTGTTAAAATATCTCCAAAAATATATAGAACGTTTTTTAATATATCATGTTCACTACTTTATCTTCAGCAGTAATGTTATCGACAATAATTTTCGGTTAGTTTTCCATTAAAGATAAGCTATTATACATTGTTTTATATTATTACGAGCTTAAATTTTAGATATATAATTGGTTTTATGTCTTGTGCTTAAAAATAAGTCTTATGTATTTATTTTTTAGATATAAAATATCTTATATAAATTGAGAACATAAAAAATAGAAAATACAAATAATTAATAATCAAAGTAAAATATTAATCAAAATTTTATCTTATAAGATATTTACCAATTATTAGTCTTGAGAGTCTGAAATAATATTTCTTTAGAATTGTGTAGAAATTTCATTTTTATTCTTATTCTTAAATTTGTTTATGATAAGCTATATTTTTTAAATGATGATTAATGATATGCTAAATAAATTTGATACGTCAGATCTGCAAAATTACAAAAAGTTTTTCTCAATGAGAAATTTATGAGAGATGCACATATTTATTATTTATTCATTTCGTATCATTGCGTGATGATTTGAACCGGTAAGAATGGAAAAGCGTTATATATGTACACAGGCCGATTAAACGCGAAAGAATTTGCGATCGCCAGAGGATTCGTATTAAAATCTTCTTCGGGTTGTTCGTTCAACGGCGTCGTTGGCTCTCTGCTGCGAGGCGTCGTCGTGGTTTTTGGGGTAGTTGTCGTGGTCGGTGGTCGCGGCGTCGTCGTTGATGTGGTAGTGGTGAAAAACGGATCGCGATAGCTAGCGGTGGTATGGTCTGAAGGTTCGTAGCTTTGTAATCTCGGGGCACCATAATACGCATGCAATTGATTGTTATTGGGATTAAAGCGCTGGCCATTAGGACGCCAACCTCTAGGCTCGTATCCCGATAAATCTGATGTTGCCGCCAGTCCGATATAAAGGAAAGTGAGGATAAACTGAAAAAAATAAAAAATTTATGTAAATAAGAGCGGCGCACGCTCAAATAAATCGAGTTATTATCTTCGCTTTATTCTATGACAGTATTCGATGAGAATATTTATATTAAAAATATGGAAGAAATGGCTTCTTCAAACTTTCCTTGCTTCACTCTTTATTTGTCTACCATGCATTTTCGTGTTTAAAAAAAATAAAAATACAATATTATATTTATTTTACTAAATGATTAAATTTTAATTAAAATAATAAATAAATAATATTAATTAAAACGTATTTTACGTAGATTAAACAAAAAATCTCTCTCTTTAACCAATCAATTTACAAATATAATATACAATTTGTAAAAATATATCTCTTGTTATAAAGTATTTCTCAAAGGAATTAATATTTCATAAATAACAGTTTATTTTAAATTTGTAAACATTTTGTATATAGTAATTATTTATTTCGCGAGCCATTTCGCCAACAGCGGTTAGCATTCTTGTAAATCAACACTGTTGCATCACATACTATTATTACATCAGTATTATTATTTGATCGCGTGATATTTTTTGAAGTGTTAAATCTGTTGTTGACGGGACAGAGCAAAATACACGTGTTTAACATCCTTCTGTATTTGAATGGAATATTATTTTACCGTTTTCCTCATTTTTTACCGATGTTGGTACCTCTCTTGAGCGCGCACCGAAAATTTTTAGACTGATCTTCACTCAACTGGTGAATCCGTCTTTATATGCGAAGCGATGTATATGAGATCGGAGCGTCTAGGCTCCTGTGAATACGAAACAAGGTGAAGACGAAAACGATTTCGTTCTTCGTTTCGCTGCCATTTCGTAATACAATGTTACCCGTATTACGTGTTAAGAATGTTCGCTGTGGCAAAACATGTTGTCTTATTAATCTACTTTTTATGTACGTCAGTTACTGATCCTACGGTTTAATTGATTTGCTTTGTTCGAAAAAACAGAACGATATAAAAATTATACTTTATAATATGAATCAAATATGATCGCCAAGTATTTTCGAGTCTTCAATATGTCCATCATTGTCTGAATTTCGTATGAAAGTTTAGACAATGCTTGCTCCGCAAATAGATGACGATAATACGGGATGTAACATCACCGCAGTAATAGAATACATTCTACGGGTTCTCACCGCATAGCAAATTAATGATTCAGGAAAACTGATAGACACGCTGCGCTAAATTTGTACAGTAGCAGCAATAAATTTTCAAAGCTGAAATATCCGAGTATAAATAAATTATCACGTTTCTTTTGAGTATTCGTTCAAGATATTCAAATTTAAAGTAAAAAGGGCATCAAAATTGCTTAAAAAATGAGACGTTAATAAAGTCATTTAGTGATTAAAATTACAAGTTGACTTAACGTAACAATGAAACATATGCATAGATATTTATCGGATCAATGTTTTTCATCGTTGGATGTTTTAAACATAGAAGCGAGAACACGTCCATTGTAGTAACGGGTGTTGTAATAGCTTACGTGAATTAAGGACGTGTCTGGAATTTAAGATCGCACGCGCGACCGTAATGCATACTCTACGAATTCGCAAGATCGATGGACGTTGCTTGCATTTGCCTACATAAATTCGCTCGGGGCGATCTAGAAACGTGGCGGGCTAACTAATCACCGGATTGACAGTGAAATTGAATTGAGTGACGTTAATTGGGATTCCGACTATATGTTTTACTCTTAAAATTTACTGACTCTCATCGATCGCGCATAACAATACTCATCGCGGTATTAACTCTTTTATTCGTCAAATTTTTTTTATAATTAAATTTATTTTATTAATTACTTTTTATGAGCATCTTACATTTATAAATATTTGAGAGATATCGAATACATATATTTTATTTCTACAGAAATAAATTTTTAATGATAAATTCTTGGGCAAAAATCGGAATCGACTATTCCCTCCTCAATTTGATTTTTCTTGAAAGACGATATCATATTAATCTTTTCTTACTTTGTAAAATGTAGAAATGTTTTATGCGTAAGATTATTTTGCGAATACAAGTCCGCGAGTATTTATCGTAAATATAAGGGAACGATTCTATCTCTGAAAAATTCTTTCACCTGACTTGCGCGAAAAAGATAAATAAAGAGAAAAGACGGGCGTTATCACGCCACGCGACTCACGCGAATTCGAGATAACAACGCTGTCGCAGGCAGACGGTACGAGTGTCGGGTTGATCGAAAGCATGCTATATAATAGCTCGCGCGTCGAGAGAACTTTTGTTCTCTGATTGAGTATATCAAGTATTCCGGTCGAGTAACAAGTGGTAGACGCGTTCGTCATGTCACGCGTCAAATGCAGCGTATTATGCGGCGTTCATTTCCATGGCTTTGTTAATCTAAAAACAGGATTTGAGGTGTTCTTCTGCTCCTTCTCTTTCTCCCTCATCAATTAAAGTTTCGCGCCGAATTGCTTCTGTTCTTCGGTCTGTGTAGTCGAGTCGATATGTTGAAATTTTCGCTTCGTTATATTATTTTCGACGGGCGGTCTGTTTGAGAGCAATTATGCACATGGACATTTTTCAGAAATTTTTACATATAAGAAGAATTTAGCGCAAAAATAGAGATAGAAAAGATTTTGACAGAAAGGAATTGTGTTTGTGGTCGAAAAATAGTAAACATTTTTTATTAATTAATAGATATATTTATTTTCAGAATTATATAGTGTCAATAAATCTTGAAGCGTTTACGTAAAATATTGGAATTTTTGCAATGTGTTCTGTGATTGTTTATTTGACTACACTTAAATATAAAAATATATTTATATTTTAGATATCAATGATTTAAAAATGCATTTTAAAACTTGGTGGAAATATATATTTATTCTATTTCTATAATTTATATTCACATTTTCCTCATATTTTTTATTTTTCATAATACATAGTGTCATTTTTCAAACATACTGTTTACATAAAAATAAATCAAACAAGTAATCGTATACAATCTGAACTCTTATTGCATATAACAAGATAAAGAACAAAATATCATAAAAGTTAAGAAAAATTTTACAATTATTTATTATCATTGAGAAAAAAATCATTAAGTTTTAATTTCAATGTGCACGAGCTCTTTATTGCTTATTCATTACTTTTTTAGATATTAGCTCATGTTAAAGCTTTTCTCATAAAGTTAATCTTATTAAAAAATAATTTTATTACATTTTATAGAGATAATATCAAAGTAGCCATATTACTTGTTGGCATAAATTCATTTTGTTATTAAAAGAAAATTTAAAATACACGGTTTTATATATTCGCGTAAGAATAAAGCGCTTCCGTTTGATTATGCACAAAATACGAAAATTATTTTTTATCCATTAAAATTTATTATTACAATTGTACATTGTTTAAAGATGTTAAAGTATACATAAAAAACCAGCATAAAATCAGGATTATCTAAAAAAAATACGTATATATAAATATAAGATGAACAATTTTTTTTCAATATTCACATCGAATTAATTGGTATTATAAGTTAGTTGGTCGGTTTCTGGAACATTATCAATGTTGTCGTTCTCTAGCCTCACAGTTCCTTCGATCTGAGCTTTCTTCTTTGCATCCTGACGTCTTTGCTCATCTTTCGTTAAAATAGTTAAGATGAAACCGAACAACAGAATCGAGCTTGAGACAATGTGTACTGGAATATCGCCGTACTCTTTTAATAATATTCCCAATATTATAACAAGTATCATTCCATAAAGATTATTTGCTATATTTAAGATTCCCGCGGTTAAATTCTCCGACTCCGGATATGTATATTCGGTGCACAACTCATATCCCAATGCAAAGTATCCCGACATGAAAAATCTATAATGAATATGGTTAAGAAAGTAACATATTATTCGCGGGAATTTTATTTCACATTTTTACTATTATAGATACACACACACACACACGCGTATATACATATATATATATATATATATCTAGGGTATGTATATATATATATATATATATATATATATATATATATATATACATACCCTAGAAGAATCGACGACACGTATACCATCCATTTTATACCGCAATAAATAAATACCGAAAATAGTACTAGACCGCACAATGAGAGAAAGTAAACAGTTACGGCAGTCTCTCTAAAAGTAATAAATTATTAATTGGCAAAAATAGCAAGGAATGATTTGTGATAACCAACAGTTTGCAGCAGTCAGAGTAAATTGAAATTGTCTTTTCAAGAAAATTGTATAAATATCTTTCTTACTTGAATTTATGTGTTTTGTCAAGGATGATACCCAAAACAACAGCACCAATCGTACCACTGATAACCATACATAATCCAATTCTACCCGCATCTTCTTCTCCATTCTAGAACATATGCGTCTTGATTTTAGATATATATATGAAATATTTGAAAATATTTTTGGTGAATTTCTCTCTCTCTCTCTCTTTTTCAATCTGTTACATTTAAATTGGAAATTCACTGGCTCACCTCAAAGTGCACAAGGAATATTTGATTAAGTAACGTAGACACAGCATTCAGTACGCCGATACTCAAGCCGTGAGAATTACAAAGCATATTGAAGTTTTTATTTTTGTAAAGTCTTTTAATCGGTCCAATCAATTCCCCCTTTCTCTTCGATCGATTCAATTTTTGCAGCGCCCGCGATTCGCTCGGCGGCAATTTCGGCTCTTCCTGAAATACTGATGCAAAACATCTTTGAGAGAATTAAAAATAATATAATGGTTTCTTAAAGCACATCAGCGATTTAATTAATTAAATCCGTTAATAAGTCCGTATCCTCTACCGTATCTAGCTATCGATTAATGTAGATAAAAATAAACCGGATGTGAAAACTGGAGTTAAAATGAGTTATTAATTAATAGCTGTGACTAGATATTTCGACTAATATAAATTAGTCGAAATATTTGATCACATTGAAAATTCATAAATATTACGCTGAAGAAAGACGAGATATCGATACATATTATTGAGTTTTTCATTTTGTTAGTAAAAATTTTCTTGATATATTGGATGTACATTAATAAAATCATATTTGGACATATACGGGCTACATGAGATACGTGAGAAACATTTGGATATATTTATAAGATATGCAATGAATGTGGCTTTTTAATTTAGATTTACGAAAGATTATTTTATGAAAAATATTTATAACTCAATTACTATAATTAAATATATAAAATATAAAATTTATAAAATATTGCATAAATATTATAAATAAATTTTATATTAATAAATTAATATTGAATGAATGTATGAAATAAAAAAATTTTATTTTTTAAAACTATTCTTCATCTATATTGGATTAGAAAAATGATCATAAAAAACTATGTAGAAATTAAAATATTAAAATTGCATTATAAATAAATTGCATTATAAAATTGCATATATAAATATTGAATTAACTTTGAGGTCTATTTCAATTATTATTTCAATTATTATTATAATAGATGAACATTAAATAATCAACTAGACTACAATGAATTTCATATAACTTACGTATGAGCACTAGAAGGAATACAGTCGTGGTAATGATTACAAGGGTCCAGCATAAACGTGATAGATCGTTGCCAGTATCATCTAGATTTTCGTGATTCTTCACTATTATGGGCGGCAAGAGAAAACCCAAAGCAACTCCCATTTGGTTACCAAAAATACCCAAACACGTAGCGGTCGAGAGTTCATTAGAAGGAAACCATTGCGCGGCCAAGCGCCCTGGTATTGGTAGGACCAGAGTCTGATAGATTATAGTTTAATTATTATTAAAAGAAAACGTGATAAAGAATGTAAATAATATAAGTAAAATAATATGAGAAAAAAGAAAATATAACACAGATATAAAGGTTTTCTAATGAGATTAAGAGAATAACCTGGCTAAATCCGACTATAGACTGACCGATGAAAACGATGTAGAAGTTGTCGGTATGAATAGAAAAGATTTTTATCCATGAGCCCAGGCAAATCAAACCGCTGCCTAAAATGGCGGTCCATCGCAGACCGCACTTGTCTGATATATATTGCACTGGTATTACAAATATGACATAAAGCAGCATGAATATCATCGATGTCCAGTCGACCATTAACGAAGATACTCCATAGTATCTGAGTAATATATAATAAGAGTAGTCACAGTCACTTGTATTTTCCTTATTTTGAGAGAAATTTTGGAAGAAATATATTATACCTGGTGACTACGTTAGTTATAATCGAATATTCTATCCATTGATAAGCACCTGCCCCATTATAAATCATATAGATGATCAGTATTATCCATCTTTTCTTATACCTTTTCAATTTTAATGGTTCGACATTGGATGGCTCGCTTAGTTTCGCAATTTTTATCGAATTTTTTATAGTAAGCACTTCATTCAGATTTGTATCTTCCATTCTTGTATTTTCGCAAGAAACTTTGATATATTTATTTATACTATAGAAATTATAATCTCAAATCTATATTTAAAAGAAGGAAACAGTTTTCTTGAATTATTTATTTAATAAATTTTTTTACGATATTCACTCCCAACATTATGTAAAATTGCTCAAATTATAAAATTTTGTAATGTATTAGTTACACTTTTTAAAATTTATTAAGAATAAATTATCCAGAATAGTAAATTAGAGCGGTTTCTTTGATTCCAAATTGTATTTCAAAATTTTCCATTCCGCGAATTTAAAAAAGGGGAAACGACGCTCAAATAACATCGATGTTGACTGCAATTGAGATAAAATATAACTGAGCGTCAGTGTTATGTTTCCCCTACAAAACCAGAATTTAACGCTACTTGTGAATTTACCTTATCTATATTTAGGATTAAATAGGATGATGTTTTTAATTTGAAGACTTAAGAAACTGGCAACATGTATCATTGTACTTAGTCTTATCATAATTTTTATCTGATTTGGTTGTCATATTTTAATACTGTTCTAAATAAAGCAACATGGCAGAATTCATCTTGTGTTTCTAAAGCAATAAATTTTAGAAATTTAACAATTTGTACATGTATAATGTAAATTACATTGCGATACAAATTTGAAATTGCATTTCTGCTCGAATAAATTAAGAATATTGGAAGCAATAATATAATTTTGACATAAATCACATATAGGAAGATCAGCTAGATTCTATCGGATTCTACACAGAGCGAATGGGTGTCTGAATTACGTGACAACGGTATTCTGAGTGAATATCGCATTGACAATAAGATAAGATCCGCATATTCGTGTAATTTCAGTGAGTTTCAGAATATATGTACCAATTGTAGATGAGAAAGATAGAGGGAGAAAGAGAGAGAGGAGGGGGGAAAGGGAGAGGCAGAGGGAGAGAGAGAGAAAGAGAGAGAGAGATGTATGATTAGAGATGTATTCTGTTATCGAGATTCAAACTTTGAATGTTCTTGTGACAGACATTATTGGTCGCAATTTGCATTCTAAATCAAGAATACTATTCCGTTTCCGAAATATATATGACCATGATGGAATTTCTTAAAATTTCATTAAAATCTTTGCTTTTTTGTCTAAATAATTAATTGTTAATTAATATTATATAATCAGACGTGTACTATGCTGGATTAAAATTATGTTGAAGAAATTATCTTATATCTGCAAGATAAAATATACTTCAGGCAAGTTATCGTATACAATTTTATATTAAAGTCGAAATATATATATATATATATATATATATATATATATATATATATGTTATAATGTAGATCTTCTGTTACTCTTAGAATTAATTAAACTCTTATTGCGTAACAAAATAAAGTCAGAATATCCAGAATACTATAAAAGTTAAGAAAAATTTTACAATTATTTATTATCATTGAGAAAAAAGATTATTAAGTTTTAATTTCAATGTACATGAGTTCGTCAATGCTTATTCATTACTTTTTTAGATACAAGATCGTGTTAAAGCTTTTCTCATAAAGTTAATATTCTTAGAAAATAATCTCATTACATTGTATACGATAGAAATAATAACAAATTACGCCATATTAATTGTTAGCAAAAATTCATGTTATTAAAAAAAAATTTTAAATACACGATTCTACATATTCGCGTAAAAATAAAGTGCAGTTTGATTATGCACAAAATACGGAAAGTATTTTTATTCATTAAAATTTATTATTACAAATGTATATTGTTTAAGGATGTAAAAATATATATTAAAAACCAGCCTAAAATTATAATTATCTACAAAAAAATACATATATATAAATATTCACAATAAAATAAAAAAGCTAAAAGATCGTGGCGCAAGGTGTTAGAGCGTAAAAGTGATAATAAAAGACTCTAAGTAAGAGACATGATATATTAAATCAGTTAGATATCAAATACATACGTACGTTTCAGTCTATTCAAGATCCTTTTCAATGATCGAGAAACACATTAGAATGTAAACAAATTTAAACTATTAAATAATAAACAGAACACGATTACAAAAAACGAACGTGATAGAAAGCGACAAACGATAAATAAATAAGTAACAGTCGCACATTTGAAACGCTAACAAATGATGTGACGAGAGCGTTAAACGGTTAACAAATCAAAAAGTTATCAAGAATCGATAGTAACATACATATCCTTCGAAAAAAAGCCGACGCTCATATCTCCTTACGAGAAAAGACGCAGAAACTCGCACACGTGGAGAATGCCTTATGACGACTATGCACTGTGATAAATCAAAGTGGAGTCATGTGTAAAGTTGTAGGAACAAACGATAGAATTATGTAGAAGTGGCTTCTAATTTGTCAGTTATCATTTAATCGTCTATCGTTTGAAGGTCCTACACCTGTACACATGACTTTACTTTGTTTCACGCTTCTCTGTTTTCTTCCATTATAGTCATCTACCTTGTTATACCGCTCGAAAAATTCGATGGTTACCTGTTTCCTTTTTTTTTGGATTTTCTTCCTGGACAGCTTCGTGAATTTTTACAGAGTTTTCGACTAGTTTATTTTATCTTTCTGATTTCATGGCTTTCTTCACGTTGGAAAAATGTTGGGACTTTTTTCATCGTGAGACTGTCGCACAATGCATAGTCGTGATATGGCATACTCCATGATTGCGAGTTTCTGCGTCTTTTTTCGTAAGGAGATGTGAGCGTCGGCCTTCTTTCGAAGGATATGCATCTTACTAGCGTTTATTGATAACTTTTTGATTTGTTAACCGTTTAACACTCTCGTCACATCTTTTGTTAGCGTTTCAAATGTTTGCGACTGTTACTTGTTTATTTATCGTATGTCGCCTTCTATCACGTCCGTTTTTTGTAATCGTGTTCTGTTTAATATTTAATAGTTTAAATTTGTTTACATTCTAACGTGTTTCTCGAGCATTGAAAAGGATCTTGAATAGATTGAAACGTACGTATATATTTGATATCTAACTGATTTAATATATTATGTCTCTCTTACTTAGAGTCTTTTATTATCAGTATTACGCTCTAACACATTGCGCTATGGTCTTTTAGCCTTTTTATTTTATTTTGTATATTTATCATTTGGACCGTTTATTGTTCTGTTTTTGTTTATATGAATATAATATGAACAACTTTTTTTCGATATTTATATCTATTAATTCGTATTATAAGTTAGTTTGTCAGTTTCTGGAACATTATCAATGTTTTCGTTCTCGAGCCTCACAATTCCTTCGATCTGAGCTTTCTTCTTTGCATCCTGACGTCTTTGCTCGTCTTTCATTGAAACAGTTAAGATGAAACCAAGCAATACAATCGAGCTTAAGATCACGTGCACCGGAACGTCGCCGTATTCTTTTAGTAATATTCCCAGTATTATAACAAATATTATACCATAAAGATTATTCGCTATATTTAAGATTCCCGTGGTTAAATTCTCCGACTCCGGATATGTATATTCGGTGCACAACTCATATCCCAGTGCAAAGTATCCCGACATGAAAAATCTATAATGAACATGATTAAGAAAGTAACATATTATTCCCAGGAATTTTATCTCACAATTTTACTATTATAGACACACACACACACACACACACACACACACACACACACACACACACACACACACACACACACACACACACACACACACACACACACACATATACTAATACATTATTTAAAATACATTAACAAATATATATGTATACATACCCTAGAAGAATGGACGACACATATACCATCCATTTTATGCCGCAATAAATAAATACCGAAAATAGTACTAGACCGCACAATGAGAGAAAGTAAACAGTCACGGCAGTCTCTCTGAAAGTAAATTATTAATTGACAAAAATAGCCAGCAATACATGATTTGTAATGACCAATAGTTTAGAGCAGTGAGAGCAAATTGGAATTGTATTTTCAAGAAAATTGTATAAATATCTTTCTTACTTGAATTTATGTGTTTTGTCAAGGATGATACCCAAAACAACAGAACCAATCATACCACTGATAATCATACATAATCCAATTCTACCCGCATCTTCTTCTCCATTCTGGAATATATGCACATGTTGACTTTAGATACATATTTATATACGAAATGTATGGAAATATGTTTGATGAATTTCTTTCTTTCTCTCTTTTTTCCTTTTGCTACAACTTTTTTCGATTTGCTACAGCTAAATTGGGAATTTACTAGCTCACCTCAAAGTGCGCGAGGAATATTTGATTAAGTAACATAGCCACAGCATTCAGTACGCCGATACTCAAGCCGTGAGAATTACAAAGCATGATGAAGTTTTTATTTTTGTAAAGTCTTTTAATCGGTCCAATCAATTCCTCTACATTCTTAGTTCGATTGAATTTTTGCAGCGCCCGTGATTCACTCGGTGGTAGTTTTGGTTCTTCCTGAAAGACTGATACAGAAACATTTTGAGAGAATTAAAAACAATATAATAGTTTTTTGAAGTAATCTAATTAATTAATCCGTATCCTCTGGCGATTGGTTAATGTAAGTAAAAACAAATCGAATATGAAAACTGAAATCAAAGTGAGTTAGATTATTTATCGAAATATTACATTGAAAATTAATGAATATAAAATTATAATTATAATTATAAAACGAGATCGGTACATGTTACCGAGTTTTTTTTATTCTGTTAATACATTCTGTTAAACATTTCCTCGATACTTTAGAATCAATAAAATCGTATTTGGATACGGGCTATACATGAGATAGGTGACATTTAAATATACATTAGATATGAACGTATAGCTTCCTAATTTAGATATATGAAAGATTATTTTATGAAGAATATTTAACTCTTAATCACTATAATTAAATATGTTGAAAAATATTGCATAAATAAATGTAAACTTCACATTAATAAATTAACACTTTTGCACTTCAGCTAATTTTATCATATGTATAAGCAATTGCAAGGCATTTTTTGGTACCTTTGGTGAATATTAAAAAATGTTATTATGTCAAATAAAAAAATTCTATTTTAGTAACTGTTCCTAGTATCACAAATAATTAAAATTAATTGAAAAATTAATATTAAAAATAATTTTATTATAGAATGTATGTCGCCATAGCTGGAGTACAAAGGATTAATATTGAGAACGAATGTATGAAATATACAAAATTTTATTCTGCATCTATATTAAATTTAAAAAATAATTGTGTGAGATTATAGAGAAATTAAAATGTTATTTCCATTAAACTTAAATCTCTATTTCAATTATAAATAATAGATAAAAATTAAATAATTATACATCAAAGTCAACAAAAATACAATAGGTTTCGTATAACTTACATATAAGCACTAGAATGAATGCAATTGTAGTAATAATTACAAGAGCACAGCATAAAGACGATAGATCGTTGCCGATGTCATCTAAATTTTCATGATTTTTCACTATTATTGGCGTCAAAAGGAAACTTAATGCTATTCCCATTTGGTTGCCAAAAACACCCAAACATGTAGCAATTGAAAGTTCATTAGAAGGAAACCATTGCGCGGCCAAGCGCCCTGGCGTTGGTATAGTCAAAGACTAATAGAGTAGAGTGTAAATATCATTAAAAGAAAACAATGCGTGATAAAGAATATGTAAATAAAGTAACATAAGAAAAAAAATGACAAAAGAAGATATAATACAAATATTTTCTAAGAGAGATTAAAACAATAACCTGGCTAAATCCAACTATAGCCTGACCGATGAAAGCAATGTAGAAGTTGTCGGGATGAATAGAAAAGATTTTTATCCATGAGCCCAGGCAAATCAAACCGCTGCTTAAAATAATGGTCCATCGCAAACCGCATTTGTCTGATACATATTGTACTGGCAATACAAATATCACGTATAGCAGCATGAACATCATCGCAGTCCAGCCAACCATTAACGAAGACACTCCATAATATCTGAATAATGTATAGGAGAAGACATATTCATTTATGTTTCCTTTGTTTAAATTTTGAGAGAAATATACAATACCTCGCGATTATGTTAGTTATAATCGAATATTTTATCCATTGATAAGTACCCCCTCCATTAGCAATTATAAAGATGATCAGTATTATCCATCTTTTCTTATACTTTTTCAATTTTAATGGTTCGATATTCGATTGCTCACCTAGTTTCGCAATTTTTACCGAATTTTTTATAGTAAGCACTTCATTCAGATTTGTATCTTCCATTCTTGTGTTTTCGCAAAGTACGTGTTGCAGGAATATTTGATATATTTGCTTATATTATAGAAATTATGATCTCATAAATCTATATTTAAAAAAAGAAGACAGTTTTCTCAATTTATTTATTTAATAATTTTTGTTTCTAAGATATTCACTCCGGACATTTGTAGAACTGTTCAAAATATAGAATCTTGTAATATATTAGTTACACTTTCTAAAATTTATTAAATCTCGAATGGTAAATTTGAGCACGATTTCTTTGATATGCAACTGTATTTCGCGGTTCAAAATTTTCCATTCCGCGAATTTAAAAAAGGGGAAACGACACTCAAATAACATCGATGTTGACTGCAATTGAGATAAAATATAACTGAGCGTCAGTGTTATGTTTTCCCTACAAAACCAGAATTTAACGCTACTTGTGAATTTATCTATATCCTTATCTATATTTAGGATTAAATAGGATGATGTTTTTAATTTGAAGACTTAAGAAACTGGCAACATGTATCATTGTACTTAGTCTTATCATAATTTTTATCTGATTTGGTTGCCATATTTTAATACTGTTCTAAATAAAGCAACATAGTAGCATTCATCTTGTGTTTCCAAAGCAATAAATTTTAGAAATTTAACAATTTGTACATGTGTGATGTAAATTACATTGCGACAAAATTTTGATATTGCATTTCTGCTCGAATAAGTTAAGAATATTGGAAGCAATAATATAATTTTGACATAAATCACATATAGGAAGATCAGCTAGATTCTATCAGATTCTACACAGAGCGAATCGGTGTCTGAATTACGTGACAACGATATTCTGAGTGAATATCGCATTGACAATAAGATAAGATCCGCATATTCGTGTAATTTCAGTGAGTTTCAGAATATATGTACCAATTGTAGATGAGAAAGATAGAGGGAGAAAGAGAGAGAGGAGGGGGGAAAGGGAGAGGGAGAGGGAGAGAGAGAGAGAGAGAGAGATGTATGATTAGAGATGTATTCTGTTATCGAGATTCAAACTTTGAATGTCTTGTGACAGACATTATTGGTCGCAATTTGCATTCTAAATCAAGAATATTATTCCGTTTCCGAAATATATATGACCATGATGGAATTTCTTATTAAAATTTCATTAAAATCTTTGCTTTTTTGTCTAAATAATTAATTGTTAATTAATATTATATAATCTGACGTGTACTATGTTGGATTAAAATTATGTTGAAGAAATGATCTTATATCTGCAAGGTAAAATATACTTCAGGCAAGTTATCGTATACAATATAATATTAAAGTCGAAATATATATATATATATATATATATATATATATATATATATATATATGTTATAATGTAGATCTTCTTTTACTCTTAGAATTAATTAAACTCTTATTGCGTATAACAAAATAAAGTCGGAATATCCAGAATACCATAAAAATTAAGAAAAATTCTACAATTATTTATTATTATTGAGAAAAAAGATAATTAAGTTTTAATTTCAATGTACATGAGTTCGTCATTATGCTTATTCATTACTTTTTTAGATACTAGATTGTGTTAAAGCTTTTTTCATAAAGTTAATCTTATTAGAAAATAATCTTATTACATCGTATACGATAGAGATAATAGCAAATTACGCCATATTAATTGTTGGCAAAAATTCATGCAGTGTTATTAAAAGAAAATTTAAAATACACGATTCTACATATTCGCGTAAAAATAAAGTGCAGTTCGATTATGCACAAAATACGAAAAGTATTTTTATGTATTAAAATTTATTATTACAAATGTATATTGTTTAAAGATGTAAAAATATACATTAAAAACCAGCATAAAATCATAATTATCTATAAAAAAAATACATATATATAAATATAATATGAACAACTTTTTTTCGATATTTATATCTATTAATTCGTATTATAAGTTAATTTGTCAGTTTCTGGAACATTATCAATGTTGTCGTTCTCGAGCCTCACAATTCCTTCAATCTGAGCTTTCTTCTTTGCATCCTGACGTCTTTGCTCGTCTTCCGTTAAAACAGTTAAGATGAAACCAAGCAATACAATCGAGCTTAAGGTCACGTGCACCGGAATATCGCCGTACTCTTTTAATAATATTCCCAGTATTATAACAAGTATCATACCATAAATGTTATTTGATATATTTAGGATTCCCGCGGTTAAATTTTCCGACTCCGGATATGTATATTCGGTGCACAACTCATATCCCAGTGCAAAGTATCCCGACATGAAAAATCTATAATGAACATGATTAAGAGAGTAACATATTATTCCCAGGAATTTTATCTCACACTTTTACTATTATAGACACACACACACACACACACACATATACTAATACATTATTTAAAATACATTAACAAATATATATGTATACATACCCTAGAAGAATGGACGACACATATACCATCCATTTTATGCCGCAATAAATAAATACCGAAAATAGTACTAGACCGCACAATGAGAGAAAGTAAACAGTCACGGCAGTCTCTCTGAAAGTAAATTATTAATTGACAAAAATAGCCAGCAATACATGATTTGTAATAACCAATAGTTTAGAGCAGTGAGAGCAAATTGGAATTGTATTTTCAAGAAAATTGTATAAATATCTTTCTTACTTGAATTTATGTGTTTTGTCAAGGATGATACCCAAAACAACAGCACCAATCGTACCACTGATAATCATACATAATCCAATTCTACCCGCATCTTCTTCTCCATTCTAGAACATATGCGCGTCTTGATTTTAGATATATATACGAAATATTTGAAAATATTTTTGATGAATTTCTCTCTCTCTCTCTTTTTCAATCTGTTACATTTAAATTGGAAATTTACTAGCTCACCTCAAAGTGTGTGAGGAATATTTGATTAAGTAACGTAGCCACGACGTTCAATACGCCGATACTCAAGCCATGAGAATTACAAAGCATAATGAAGTTTTTGTTTTTGCAGAGTCTTTTAATCGGTCCAACAAATTCCTCTTCATTCTTCGTTCGATTGAATTTTTGCAGCGCCCGTGATTCACTTGGTGGTAGTTTTGGTTCTTCCTGAAATACTGATACAGAAACATTTTGAGAAAATTAAAAACAATATAATAATTTTTTGAAACAATCTAATTAATTAGTCCGTATCCTCTGGCAATTGGTTAATATAAGTAAAAACAAATCGAATATGAAAACTGAAATTAAAGTGAGTTAGATTATTTATCGAAATATCAAATTAAAAATTAATAAATATTATAAAATGAGATATATCGGTACATGTTATCGAGTTTTTTTATTCTGTTAATATATTCTATTAAAAGTTTCCTCGATACATTGTATATCAATAAAATCGTATTTGGATACGGGCTATACATGAGATATGTGATATTTAGATATACATTAGATATGCATTGAACGTGTGGCTTTCTAATTTAGATATATGAAAGATTATTTTATGAAGAATATTTATCTCTTAATCACTATAATTAAATATGTAGAATATTGCATAAATTAATGTAAATTTCATATTAATAAATTAATTCTTTATATTCCAATTTTATCATATGTACCAGCAATTCCAAGGCATTTTTTGGTACCTTTGGTGAATATTAAAAAATGTTATTATGTCAAATAAAAAAATTCTATTTTAGTAACTGTTCCTAGTATCACAAATAATTAAAATTAATTGAAAAATTAATATAAAAATAATTTTATTATAGAATGTATGTCGCCATAGCGGTGTCACCATAGCTGGAGTACAAAGGGTTAATATTGAGAACGAATGTATGAAATATACAAAATTTTATTCTGCATCTATATTAAATTTAAAAAATAATTGTGTGAGATTATAAAGAAATTAAAATGTTATTTCCATTAAACTTAAATCTCTATTTCAATTATAAATCAATTATAAATAATAGATAAAAATTAAATAATTATACATTAAAGTCAACAAAAATACAATAGGTTTCGTATCACTTACGTATAAGCACTAGAATGAATGCAATTGTAGTAATGATTACAAGAGCCCAGCATAAAGACGATAGATCGTTGCCGATGTCATCTAAATTTTCGTGATTTTTCACTATTATTGGCGTCAAAAGGAAACTCAATGCTATTCCCATTTGGTTGCCAAAAATACCCAAACATGTAGCAGTTGAAAGTTCATTAGAAGGAAACCATTGCGCGGCCAAGCGCCCTGGTATTGGTAGAGTCAAAGTCTAATAGATTATAGTGTAAATATCATTAAAAGGAAACAATGCGTGATAAAGGATATGTAAATAAAGTAACATAAGAAAAAATATGAGAAAAGAAGATATAACACAAATATTTTCTTAGAGAGATTAAGAAAATAACCTGAGTAAATCCAACTATAGACTGACCGATGAAAGCAATGTAGAAGTTGTCGGGGTGAATAGAAAAGATTTTTATCCATGAGCCTAGGCAAATTAAACCGCTGGCTAAAATAACGGTCCATCGCAAACCGCATTTGTCTGATACATATTGTACTGGCAATACAAATATCACGTAAAGCAGCATGAACATCATCGAAGTCCAGTCAACCATTAACGAAGACACTCCATAATATCTGAATAATGTATAGGAGAAGACATATTCATTTATGTTTCCTTTGTTTAAATTTTGAGAGAAATATACAATACCTCGCGATTATGTTAGTTATAATCGAATATTTTATCCATTGATAAGTTCCCGCTGCATTAAAAATCAAAAAGATGATCAGTATTATCCATCTTTTCTTATATTTTTTCAATTTGAATGGTTCGATATTGGATTGCTCGCCTAGTTTCACAATTTTTACCGAATTTTTTATAGTAAGCACGTCATTCAGATTTGTATCTTCCATTCTTGTGTTTTCGCAAAGTACGTGTTGCAGGAATCTTTGATATATTTGCTTATATTACAAAAATTATGATGTCATAAATCTATATTTAAAAAAAGAAGACAGTTTTCTTAATTTATTTATTTAATAATTTTTTTTTCTAAGATATTCACTCCGGACATTTGTAGAACTGTTCAAAATATATAATTTTGTAATGTATTAGTTTCACTTTCTAAAATTTATTAAATCTCGGATGGTAAATTTGAACACGATTTCTTTGATACGCAACTGTACTTCGCGTTTCAAAATTTTTTATTCCACGAATTTAAAAATCAAGAAACGACGCTCAAATAACATTAATGTTGACTGAAATTGTGATAAAATATAACTGAGCGCCAGTGTAATATTTCTTCTACGAAACCAGAACTTAGCGTTTCTTGGGAATTTACCTTATCTATATTTAGGATTAAATAGGATAATGTTATTAGACTTAAGAAACCAGTAATCTATATTGTTGTACTTAGTCTTATCATAATTTTTATCAGATTCGGTTGCCATATTTTAATACAGTTCTAAATAAAGCATTTTGGCAGCATTCATCTTGTATTTCTAAAGCAATAAATTTTACAAATTTAACAATTTGTACATGCGTAATATAAATTACATTGCGATACAAAATTTTAATATTGTATTTCTGCTCGAATAAGTTAAGAATATTGAATACAATATAATTTTGACATAAATCACATATAGGAAGATCAGCTAGATTCTATTGAACTCTACGGAGAGCGAAATGGGTGTCTGAATTACGTAACAACGGTATTCTGAGTGAATATCGCATTGACAATAAGATAAGTTCCGCATATTCGTGTAATTTCAGTAGGTTTCAGAATATATGTACCAATTGTGGATGAGAAAGAGAAAGAGAGAGAAAGAGGGAGAGAGAGAGAGAGAGGGAGAGAGAGAGAGAGAGAGAGAGAGAGAGAGAGAGAGAGAGAGTGTGAGGGAGAGAGAGAGAGAACGAGATGTATGACTAGAGATGTATTCTGTTATCGAGATTCAAACTTCGTTCTTGTGGCAGACATTATTAGTCGCAATTTGCATTTTAAATCGAGAATACTATTCCTCATTTTCAAATATACATATGTGAACATGATAGAATTTTTTATTAGAATTATATTAAAATCTTTGCTTTTTTGTCTAAATAATTAATTGTTAATTAATATTATATAATCAGATGGATATTATGTTTGATTAAATTATGTATAAATAATCTTATATCTGCAAGATAAAGTATACTTTATGCTTCAACATATGAAATGTACATAATCATGTCAATGCAGGTAGAAATAGTTCCGTGGGGAGTTTATTAATGTCGGAACTACAATATTACGTATCGCTATAAAGTACGGCTTATTGTACGCTTAATTGTAAATACAATACATATTTCACTTGGGAATTTGTTGCCGCACAAGAGAAGAAAAGGGAAAGATAGAAAATTACAAGAATATTGCAATACTTACTTTTTGTTGGAGAAAACATACATTGTTCTAAAAGACGTTTACCGAATATATTTTATTTCATGCATGAGGCAAGCTACTAAATTGAACTTTATGTATTGTACAAAGAGAGGAGGGAAAGGTATCCCAATATGCTTCTGCATCTCATAGATTCCTGTAGGAGTGCAATACGTAACATATATTTGCCATTGATGTGAAAATTTCTGCACGTTAGAATTTTCCAGCATTGGAAAACTGAATAGCATATTTAATGCGGTGATTTGGATATGAAACTGCAAATGTCATTCATATTTGGTTAATGATAAAGGATATGAAAAAATTCAAATAACGTCTTTTCCACGTTTAAATATAGAGAGATTTTTATATAATTGAAATAAATATTTCAACTACCTTTCAGAATCAAGCTGAAGACGACTTTATGACTTGGATTGTATATAATTTTGCTAAAGTGAATAATGGGAAGTAATAATGTACATAAAGTGAATAATGGGAAGTAGTAATTACTTAATTGAAATATAACCTGTATTGAAAAAAATATATGTGTATTGAAATAAATATAACATATACCTATATTAAAATAAAATTAAAATTAAAAAAATATACATGTATTATAAAGAATATTTTAATATATAAAGAATATTTTATTATATTTGTAATGTCATTATAGATGATTGAGTGATATTTTCTTTATATTCCTATTTGAAATTTTTGCAAATGAAAAAAACAATAGTCAGGTTTTATAAGAATAACAAAGCATATAATAAAGATTAGCGTGAAAAAGAGTGAGAGAAACATTTAAATTATCATATACCATCAAACAGTAAAATATGGCCCTTCTTAGGCAGCTAGAACGAATCAGACTATTTTTCGTCTTTTGTTATTATCAAAAGAATTTGAAATAGTCAGGAGAAATAAATAATGCTTGGGCCCAAGATTCCTTTAATTTCTCGAACAGACAGCTCTTTTTCTTCTTCTTGTTTAATTAGCAAAGAGCAAAGAGTTTCTTGCTCACTGCCATCATTCAGCATTGGTAAAAGAGCAACAAATTGAAAACAGGAAACTCATCCTTTTAAAAAGAGGATAGAACTCAAAAAATAGGGTCCAATTAAGAAGCACACGTGACGCGTTCCAATCTTGTTCAAGAACGACAACGATATCTGAAGACAGTTCGAACTCGACTACTTTGCCTCTTGGACCAATTCTCTTCTTTACCATCTCCATCTCTAGTTATTCTCTTCTTCTCTCAAACTCTCTCTCTGTCTCTCTCTCTCTCTCTCTCTCTCTCTCTCTCTCTCTCTGTCTGTCTGTCTCTTTCTCTCCCTCTTTTCTTTCCTCTCGCTTATTACATATTTTATTTTATTATTATCATTGTATTTATTATTATACTATATGCTCCTTAATATTTATAATATAACTATTATTATATTACTATTATTATTAACTATTATTATAAAATAAGTATTAACGAAAGAATTTTTTTGGTTGCAATATTTTTTCAGTAACTTATTGTTGATTTTTTGGGATGTTAACAAGTAAATGAAATGCGTTGTATACAACAGAATTTTTTTTTATTGGACGTTACATGTTAACAATAAAGGCGACGCAAATGTAATCTTCTTAATATTACATAAATCTAGAGTTTATTATAAAATTGAACATTTCTAATGTTATCTTTTTCTTCATTAATCTTTCCAAATCTTTTAAATGCTATTTTATTATTTTAATATTCTCATACAACGATGTGTATCAAAAAGAAATGGCTGAAATTCAAAAAATTATCATATGTATTATTTTCAATGTAAAAATATGCAATTCGTGCTCCTTGCTTCCTGTGTATATAACTGGGTATTTCACATACGTGTAATACATTTTTGTCGAAGAATTTTTATCGTTATTTATACTTTTTACTTCGCATACATCTCCAATTACATAATTAAACAAAAAATAATTTTCTTTTTCGAACATAAGAACAAAACTAATTACTTCGTATAATTTTTCAATATGATCCTGATTTATATACATTGTTTCATCACGTTACAATTTTGAATAATTTGCAATTAAAGTTGCAAAGAAAAATAAAAATAGCAAAGTATGTCTGTACATTTTTGCATGTTTATATAAGTTTTTACAAATATGCCAGTTATTTCTAATTATTACGTTTTCAATTTTGATATTAATTTTTTCTACATTAACTTCGCCATTTTTAATTTGTTAATTTTAATAGTGAATTCGTACTTAGAGATCTAAAAAATTGTTAAGTTTGAATAAAGAATTGGAAACTATTATTAATATGTGATTTCTCAATGATTTAACTTTTTTCTGCAATAAATTTCATATTTAACCATAAATATCTTATTAATCATAGTCGACAAATTCCTCTTAAAAGCAAAATATTTAACGACATTTCTTGAACTGCAATAAAACTTTTACAACACGTCATATATCTGTATGACAAAATACATGAATAAAAAGTCTTTTTTGCAATTTTAATTGTAAATTTCTCAAAGTTGTAACATGATGGAGCAATTTAAAAACTGGAATCGCATTCCATGTGTCAAAAAAAACTAGTGACTAGTATTATTCCAATGTTTTTTTTATTGAATAGTATTATCTCTTATTTGTCTTCGACAGGGATCTGTGTAAATATGTTACAAATGATTGACCACTATTATTGTGGAATTTAGGAAAATGATTATCTGGAACTCCATAAATGTTCCGTTAAGTCTATACACATACTCTAACGCTTATTTGACTCTTATTATATGCGGTTTTACAGTTCTTAAACTTGGGATCACGATTTGCGATACTAATTGGTATCCACGTATGTATACAATGCACATTACAAACTATTCAATTCACCGAGCAACAGTTCTTAGAGTGATGTCTCGAATATAAAAAGTAGTGAAAAATCGCTTTACACTCCCCTAGCATAAATTATACACATATACGTTCATACAAGTTTAGTTGCATATGTTAGATGGCTAGTTTTGAACAGGTGTATAGGTATGTCGCCGTCAGGACGCGTGTTTTGCGTCTCTTAAATTAGTTTTAAACACTTTCGAAACTTTCTTTATGCTCTTTTCTAAGAAAGGGGGATTATTTTTATACAGTTTACATTAATAAGACTGTGTGGAATATCTTGCGGAATTTATGGAAGCATAGGCTATATTAATTGACCAACGATTAATAATTCTGACCACAATAAATAATTGTAAATATTGAATAATTTAAATAACTATGTTAACCACAAAATTCCAGCGAACAATGTGTTTCAATAAAGGGGATCAAATCGATATTGTGATTACGAGAGCGACTTTTTATAAGATTAGCAGATTGATATTGGCAGTATTATACCAATAAATCTATTAAATCAAATGAGATTTTAGTTTTGATAAACTGTGCAACCATCGCATAATATTTGTATATTTACAATGACGATAAACCATTGTAAACATTAAATACTAAATAAATATTTCACGATAATTGAAATATTTATTTGGGATACACCGATGAAAGAAATATCTTCATCATTTCATTTAAGTTAATTTTCATATAACTTCAAATTAAAAGAGGTCTAATTGTTTCCTAATTGTAATGTAATTACATTTCGTTCTGTTCATCCTGTATTGCTGCAAAATACACATCTCATATTTTAGAATTAAACTTACAATTATCAATAAGAGCTTCAGGAATAATAAAACATTAGAAAAGTATGCCTTTTTGTTTGCCTTTCAGATGGAGGAAGAACGGTAGGATAGCAAATATATTTCTATACCTTAAAAAAGGAAATTATTATCTTATCAACATTTACTCGAAAAAATTAGCAGCCATTTGTTCATACTTTTTTAATAAATGTACATGTGATATATAGAAGATTTCTCACGTATGTGTTTGCATTAGATCGATTTTTAATAAATTTGAGGTCAATTTTTTCACAACAAAAATCTGATAAATACTCTTCTTTTTCATAATTTGCATATTATTGTTAATTTGTATAGTTAAATTAATTTTAAAATATTATTAAAATTGTTTAATTTCAATTGATAGTATTTCGACAGAATTCTAATTTGAAACCTTGCAAAATTTGATATTGAATATTTAAAAAATATAAAAGTGATAGCGTTTAATCGAATTTTCGTCACGATAAAATCGATTTTAAATCGGTCAAAGAATTCGTAAATGAAAAAAGATACTACGAGAGTCACAGAAAAATCTGCGGCATTCAGTATATATATATATATATATATATATATATATATATATATATATATATCAATGAATGGCGAATCTTGGAGATGAAACGACATGATTGAATCGTATGCGAAATATGTAGCCGCGGTGAAAGGGAAATGTCCATTGGAAGAATACTGAAATGAATGAAAAAATATGAGCAGCAAGTTACATGAAAGTGCGAATTTCATTCCATCTAATCTAACGTATTTACGATATATAAACGATATAAATAATCATTAATCGCAAATATAAGCATGATCGAATTTCGTTACAATTTCTAATTTTATTACAATATATCATTGAGAGAACGTTTTTCCGTGCAATTAATGATCGGCGATCGATTGGTTTCTTTAAACTAATATAGATATCGTAACTAATTAGTCACAATCGAGAATATCGATGATATTAATTAACAGTTGTAAAGATATATTATTTACAAGAAGATTATGGTTTCATCACTAAATGTCTGATGGCATTCGATTTAAAGTCAATCCGTGCACAAACAACACATAGCTCATTCTTGTAAACTTACAAATTTACAAACGCATATAGGAAGATATCTGAGAATATCTGAGATATATCAACAAAATTATATACTCTAACATTTATTAATAATTATTAATAATTATTAATAATTATATTTATAACAATAATATATAAATAGAACGGAGATAGATGGGGATTAATCATATTTGGCTGAGATATGTTTCATTTTTCTTTTTTTTCTTTTTTTTAATTCATTATTTAACAAGATTCTTTTTTATCGCCATAGCTCGCGCGTTATTCCAATAATTTGATCCCAGAACACATGTCGCGATAGTTTATATAAATATACATTGTATCAATAATATTTCGTATAAAGATATTTATAAATTTACAAGTATATCGCAATTTTTCTTGGCTTTTATTTCTTTATTTATTTTTGCTGCATATTTTTTCGAATTCGTAACGCATCGCTGTACTTTGACCGGAGCGAGAGAGGATGAAAACGAGCAATTTACCGATCTTTGCTTCGAACACATTCGTGCATAAATAAAGTAACGTAATTCCATTCGAGAAAGTCCTTAATTTTGCAACACAGATGTGTCATACGAAATAATAGAAAGCAGCATAACATAAATAATATCGCGTTTCATACATGTATACAAAGAGAATATATTAAGTGTACATTTATCTTGTATAAAGTGTTCCGGACGTTCCTGTGGACCCAACGGGACATAGTGTAAATATACTTGTAGATATGCAGCTGTTGTGCATCTCGATTATTAGTAATATGATAGATTTATGGCTCTTTGTGAAACAAACCCTGTTACATTTATCTCAACGATGCAGAGACTTTTAATGGAGCCTTAATCTATTTCACAAGTGGCAAAGTTCAGATTTCGTTAATAAGGTACGTGAATAAAAGTTAAATTAAATGCGAACATTTTTTTTTCATTTACAATTATACATATTCATTATTTTCTGTTGCAATTTTGCTCACGAAATTTTCGAGAGGGAAGTTATATTTTTCTTGAAATAAACATTATTTAAACTTTATCGAATTTTAAATATAAACATGCATTCAATCAACAATTATGTGTTTTGATCGAAAAAAATTTTTCTTTTATATGTGTGTAATAATCATGTTCGTGTGAATAAACACATTACGCGGCGCAGAGTCGTAATTACAACTCATTAAATTCATTTTTCACGAGAATATATTGCAATCCTATAAATTTATTATGGCAACGCGCATTTCATAAAAATTGAATTTAGCGAGTAACTATCGAGATATACATCTCGCTTACAAAATTGTATCCTATCATTGCATCTCCCCAAGAAGGCTAGAATAGGCTGGATTATTATTAAATCAACAAAAAATTGAAAAGATTAAAGCAGTTCCTCGTTATCGTCCGAAGCACCGTACATTTGCGGTCTTCTATTCAAAAGACGCTGCTGCTGTTGAGCTTGTTGTTGTTGCTGCTGCTGTTGCTTTTGAAGGAGCGCAATACTGGCGGCTTTATAGTTTATCGGTCCGTATGATCTGTAATCCACGTCCGCATAATCGAGATCCGAGAATTCCGGCTTGAAGGGCTGTATAAAACAGAAAAACGTGACGAATATCTCGGGATGAAAGTAATCTGTTTTCCAGACAATACAAATTTCTGGAAGACGTCTTGGTTTTTCAAATGCTTTTCTTATATATTCCGAGTCATTTATTATTAGAAGACAATTTTTTTGTATATAAAATATACAAAATTAAATACATTTTATTTGGAAGTAATTTTTGTTGCTATATTTTATTATATTTGCTATATTTTATTATATTTGTTGCTATATTTTATTATATTTGAAAGATTAGTGTTTTTATTTATATTTTTTGATTGCATAGAAAAGATTTTTTTATATATAATTAGAAAGGCATTTTAAGTTTCGTTAAAATAAGGAATTTAGACGTCTTTAATCTTTGTATTGTTTGGATTCCAATCGTGCTGCGCGGACAATTACGCACACAATAGTTTCTACTAGTGGACTGTTCGCGAAGTTTCGTAACAGACCTGCTGTGCAAGCGTTCGACAAATGATCTGTGTGTACCATTTCGAGTATTAAAGCTTTCTCGTTTGTGATCGATGTCTGTCAATTAGACAACGACGTGTCCAGGGCGAATACATGAATTGGACAGAGGTTTCATTGAAGAGGTGAGAAATTTATATACGGAATGATCGACTATTGAAACCATCTAACCGATAACCATTTACAATCTCTCAGCTCGTCAAGATTAAATATAGCCATGATGAGTGTTATCATGCTGCATGCTGGTCACTCCAAGTGCTAAACTAGTATGCGTGATTTAAAATTGAGAAGATTGTGTCGTTTTAATTGTTACATTCTAATCGATTCGAAGCTTTTACTGTTGCACGCAGCAAGAACAATTATCATAAATTTTGGTATTATTGACAATTGTGGATTCATCATATGTACAAAATACGAAAAACGAACGGTAATTTTTGCGTAATTAACATAGAATTGTGTAATATAGAAGCTGTTTTTTCCTGATATTTCAAAATTATTCCAAGATATCCTCGTAATTTTTTCAAACAATTTTCTCTCTCTCTCTCTCTCTCTTTCTCTTTCTCTCTTTCTCTTTACCGAATAAAATATGAATTATGTATATGCTTCTCTAATGGGAGAAAAAATTTTATAACGTATAAGGCTCTATGCAAGCAAGAATCGAAAAGAGTTTTACAAAAGGACAACAACGTAATGAATGAACAATATGTAAAAGATTGAATCGTTGCAATCTCCGTGAGTGAAGCGAGTTCGAGTTCTGTATCCCTCGCGCGAATGGACATTCCGTATTTATGGTGGTACACTCGATTTACGTTATGCGTGTAAGCGGCGTGACATACTCCTACAATGTACCTACAGAGAACGCTTGTCGGACGCCAAATTGTCCTAGTAAATGTACGTATCGCTCTTTGTCAGCTGACCCTCCTACAAACAAACATTGAGAGATATACAATTGATATGGTACGCATGCAGCAAATCCTTCCTTCGCTGCGTATCTTGTGTCGTACGCTAGATAGGATACGATCGCGAGAGATACGAAGACATGCAAGATGTTATATACACAGCGACCGAGAATTGTCTTAACGATTTAATTCGGCTCAATCACGATCGAAAGCAGCGCAAAATTATTTGGCAATTTGTTCGAAGAAATTAGAGTGGTATAAATAAGTTTTTATAGAAAGCGAAGTTACGTACACCGCGAGATCAGGCGGTATTAACGATTACAAATGATCTCACAATCAGTGAGTATCATTCTACATTCCATCAATTTCTCCAGACTTCAAGATGATGGATAATCTCTATTGTACTTCTTTTCGTGCGTATACTACTTCTTATTACAAAAAGTTTATGGCGATCCGACGTTAAATAAAAGTCTACAGAGATGGATTTCATTTCAGTTGGAAATAAGACGAGGGAAAAACAAATCATGCTAGTATGCGCACTAATTATATCTTGATGTGTGACTATTACATATAGAATGTCCTATATTTAATGTAAAATTCGACAGTTTTAGATCCCATAGATATCAACTCGATAATATATTCAAATTTTTTGAGACATCCCGTATACTTTATATTGATAAGTTATATATGTGTTAAATTGAATAGTTCACTCTGTTACGTAAACTTTATGTACGTGGTCGCGCATTTATTATATCTGCACATTGTTTGTTTTATCAATTTTTGCAAAATGGGGATCAATCCAAACAGACGCTACTGATTTTTTTTGCCTGTCGCACCTACTCGTTATTTTTTTTATTCGTTCAACGAAACTTTACAGATACGTATACAAAGCTGTTTCCTTTTAGTAGAGAGGATATTTTTGGATTGAATTTTAAATATTGAAAATGTATTCCCACACGTGTGTCTCTTCGACCGGTTGAAATAAACGGTCTGTCCGCCGCATGTTGCATGTAACAATGTTTTATGTCGTTTAGCATTACCGATTTTTTTTTAACATAAAGGTTTATTGCAATATTGATTTACAGCGCGCGGTTTATCAAAGAACAATCGCGGAAAAAGTGCTAAAATTCAAAAGTGATATTAAATAAAAATTTATGTGTAACGTTGTCAGTATTCGCTTCGAAATATTGAATCACTGTGCGCATCATCAGATATAATAACATATTTTTTCTCGAAAAAGATATTCAATGTTCTGGTATTCTAATATTGATTATTAGCTATCAATGAGAGAGACATTATGATATAAAATTATGTAATATGGAAAAGAATATATATACGAAATTTTTTGACGAAATCAGAATTAGCTTCTTACAAGTTCGTCTAAGCTGGGTTCAAAATTATGATATGCCATCGTAATTAATATTATTAATTTAAAAATGCAAAAGAGAAAATACCTCTGAAATCGTTCCTGAAAATCGAACAAACGCAAACAAACATAAATAAACGCATATAAGCAATGGCAAAGCTAAAGATTATACAATGCGAAAACGCAAGATTGTAGCATTAGAATAGAGAAAGCAGAATGAAAGAAAATGAAAGAGATATAATAATTTGCCCTACCTTTGAACACGTACGTAGAGAACATCTTAAAGAATGTGTTCGGCACGCGCGGGTGCGTTACCTCTAAAGACGCAGCGGTGCCTCGAAGTTTTAAAAACACACAAATCGCCACGGCACATTCTTCTCGAGAAAAAATGCGTTTCCCCGCAGGTAGATAGGGAGGGAAAGTGCCGCGCCGCGCTGAGATGCAGCAGCAAGGCTGCTGCAAGGCCACTAACCTTTAGACATCGATCTCCTGACCGACGTCCCGGAAGTGAAGCTCGGCGTATTGCATTATCGTGGGCGCGGAGGGTGCACGAACGTCGCCGACATTGCCCGTTGACAGCCTCGTCTTCGATATTTTGTTGCGACTTTTCGCATCGTCCATATCCGTCGCCAATTGCGACGTGTTGTTGCCGGTGCTACGATTCGATTGACGATTCCACGACGGTGGCTGCTGCTGCTGTTGTTGCTGCTGCTGACGCGCCACCGTCGAGTTCGGTCTGTGATAGTCGGTGGAACACTCCGCGTTTATGTCATCTTCATAGTAATGCGGATACGAGATCTTGTACATCGTCTCGGACGCGTTCAGATCTGGGATTTGGTGGAAGCTGGTCTCGCAATCGGGAGGCGAGACGCCGTTGAAAGTAGTCTCGTTACGTCGCGATGGAGCCTCTCCTCTCTGTCGGTTTTGCTTCGACTTGCTCCGATCGCCCGACGTTCGCTCGTACTTCCGATACTTTCGGTTACGCTCGTTTCGCCGATTCGTCGTCGAATGTCGACGTGACGACGACGACTGTCTCGCGTCGTGATTGCCATAATTCTGCTGCTGCTGCTGTTCCTCATCCCGATGCACCGCGGGCAAGTGATTGCCGGTCGTGGCGGCCTCGTGATGCACCAGGGTGGACGGCCGACTGTTGTTAGTGTGAACGAGGGAGGTTTGCAGGGGATTAACTATCGAGGGATGATAGAGGTTGCGCGTTAGTGGCAGTGTTAGTTGATTCGAACTGTTGCTCGGTAAGGGGTAGCTGTACTGCTGCATTTCCTGCCGATGCTGCTGCTGGTAGTGTTCTTTGTAGTTGTATAGGCTGTCGGTCTGCAACAGGCACGGTTAGTAGTTGGGACCAGGCGAAACGGGGATGCGAGTTAACGCGACGTAGAGAAAAGTGTGAATAAATTGGACGGCTGAGACATTATTTCGATTTTTCATTCTTAAATAACGAATCTATATAAATGATCACATTTTTCGTGAGATACGTGCTTGTGAGATACATAGATTTGGCTATTACTTTTAGTATGAATATATATATATATATATATATATATATATACATATACATATACATAATCATAATTATAGTATATTTATAGTATATTTATAGTTGTAATATAAATTTTTTTAAATCGAAAAGAAAGAGGTTGGAATCAAGTGTACGGAATTTCATATCGGAAATTTGATGTGCAAACATTCATTATCAGATTACTCAGATCGTTGCTGCTACTCTCCTAAATTGAAACAATAATTGATTAAAGAAATAACAAAATTTCATTCACGATCAACGAGTATTTCAAATACATTTTGCTCCTCTATCTTGTATTCCAATCATTATGTCCAATAAAATTTCATTGAAAAATTAATAATAAATTACATATGTATTTGCAAGCTGTAGCTTTTTCTATTTAATTTGAATTGCTATTTATTGAAAGAAGTTTTCACACATATTTGGAAGGAAGCATATATAACTAGTGTTTAAATTCAAAATTACATACACATTCAACATTATATACATATTATACATTTTCACTTTTAAGAGAGATGTGATATAAATTCATAAAAAAGTCAAAAGAGAATTCGCATATTTCTTTAATAAAATATTGCTATAAATTTATGTTTACGATAATATGTTACATAAAATGCAATTTAAAATATTGATTAAAAAAGCTTCTACCATTAGATTCTTTCTGAAAGATTTAATTATTAAAATTCTAAAAGATTTAATTAAGCTATATTATTCCTATATTTATTATTGAAACCATCCACTTTTCCATTACTTTTCAAATAATACACCGATCCCATTTAAGAGAGTACAATATACTATATATAAGTATATTTTCATAAAACATTTTAATCGCGTTTATATATAGAGGATTTACGCACAAATTATCGGATGATAGATTTTATTCATGCGTTCTCCTCACTTCAAAGAATTCTCCGTTGACAGTGTTCATCGGCGCACCTATATTTGATACTTTATATAACAATATATAACAATATATATGTGCAAGGATTTATGTTATTGATCGATAAGTGAGGAAAGACATTTCAAAATTTCGCAATGTGCATCTCTCTTCGTTGTTGATAAAAATAAAAGAACAAACATTTACATATGTTGGAAGAAACGAATGGCAATTGTAAAAAAAAAAAACCTTCGAGATAATATCTCAGGCACGTCCGTGTTTCGAAACAATAAAGAGCTCGAGTCATTGGTTAAGCGTGTGTGACAGTGAAAACTTACTTGACACGCGGCCAACATGCACAAGGGCGGTCGCTACATAGATGCCCGGATCCAGCTTAGCAGGGAAAATATGATTTCCGATTATAACTCGGCTTCCAGCAACTCTACCTCCTACTTGCTCGAGAAGCTGCTGTTTTATATCTATTACGGACACGTAAATCGTACACATGCAGTAGGCGCGAGATGCTAATGTTACTCGGTGCTTATAAGGGAACGGAGATTGACCTCTTGCTCGCTGGACATTGCCGCTCGTATAACTTTCATGCTTATATATAGTTTGATTTTTTAATAAAATTATAAAAGTCTCCGATACGAGAATCATTTATTTAATGACGCGATAATGTTCGTAGAGTCATAACGAGTGATCTATAGCGAGTTTAGATGTATATCGGGAGCCATCTAAGGTACCATTTATGCTTATTACTGCTATTACTACTACGATAATATAAATCTGTTTCAAAAATGCTTTCAATCACAGACTAGCTCGATTATTATTATGGCAAATTAAAATCGATAGTGCAACAAAAAATAATTATATACGAATAGCAATTATGTATAAAATGTCTATAGGTTTCTTTTTAATGATACAAAATTATTGTATTCGCACAGAATTGCTTGTAAAGGCTATTAAAATCATAAAAAATAAAAAAAAACAAAAAAACTTTATTTTAAATTTTAAAATATGAATAAATTTAAATAATATGAATAAATTAAAATAACTTAGTATCTTTTTAAAGGGAACTCTAATTATAGTATGTAATTATATGTATTGAGTATATAAATATGCGCACGCCTTTTATATCCGATTGTTTCACTATATAATTGATCTTTAATCAAATTTCATTATGTTCCATTTATAATTAATGCAAGTCATTATTCATTGTAATAAAATATTTTGTTTCACGTTGTTTCAGGCTTCGAGTTTAAATACTAATAACAAATATTTAATATATTATACTTTGAGACATGTAAAAAATTTGCATTTCAAGCAAATAATATTTTTTTCCATTATTTTACTTTCTTTGAATTCTGGTATAATTCTGGATTTTTACAGATTTTTTGTTAAGACGTTACTTTGAAAAGCATTATGCTTTGCTATTAAAGTATTTGATGAAAGCACAGCATTCTCTGGAAGAATCTTGTATATAAAAATAGTTAAAAAGCTTCCACAAATATTAAATTCAATACATTTCTCATGTACTTTTATACGAGTATATACACAATTTTGTATATGTTGCGTTTGTATGTGTATACGTATTCTGTTCTTCAATTCTATCAACTATATGCCGGTAAGCTTCAAATATTCTTGGCTGTAAAAAAGCAAAATCAGAAAATATTTATTATATGTATTTAACGATATCTAAAATTTTATAACATTAATAGTTAACTCTTAAAGCTATAATATAAAAATTACGATAATAATTATCGACATGTTTACATCTGTGAATGATTACTCGACAATACGAGCCGATTGCAACAGGACTGATCGAGAGACGGCTCCCGAAAAGCTCGTTCGCGGCAATGTCCGCGAGCAACGTCATCAGATGCGGGATTTTCTTATTGTAGATGATGAATAGTTGACAAACCTTAAGCTTAGGCAACGAAGCGTTTCTCGGCGGAAAAACGGGGACAGGGACATTTTGGTAAGTGTGTTTGGACGGATCGATCTTCTTGGACATCCTCGGCGCTGGTATTGGCGGTGTCGTTGGCGATGATGGTATCGGCGTCGAAGGCGCCGATCGGCTCATCAGATTGACCGATCCCTGGCTCAAAGTCAAGGACGGCGTATCCTCCACCGATCGGACAATCGTCGCGATCGTGGCCGTGCTATCGCTTCTGTGCGGACACGTTTTATAGATCGGTATCGCGTACAACTCGTACTTCTTGCGGATGTTTTCGTGTCGACGGCACAGCCGTAGGGAGTAAAACTGCTGCGAGTGCTTCTGCTTGCGTCGTCGCGGCTTCAGGGTGTTGTACTTGAGCACCGGAGAATTACCCCTGGGCACGTTGTAAACGTTGTAGTGGGGCCCCAGGTGGCTCATGGTAGATTCGTAGCCGGAACTGCCGTCGCAGAGGCTGACAGCTCTGCTGGGTGGCCGCGAGGAGCACGGCGAGGCCGTGAAGGAATGATGCAACGTACCATGCAAAGCCGAAACTCGGGCAAACTTAGGAGTAACCAACTAAAACAAAACGCAGCCAGCGGCCATTCGCATACACAACATCCTTCGATTCGATTTCGGTTCGGTTTGCTGATTAACGTTCGATTATCCGATAACATCGATGACGGCGATTCGAGGCTAATGACATTTCGCGATGACTCGATTAGCGATGCGAAGTCTCGACTTCGTATAGTAGATTGACCGAAACGGCACTTCCTCGCCGTAGGACATAAGTAGCCAATCTATGTCAATCTCTGAGTTGCTATTGGCATTTTGGGTGAGTACTACTGATATAGTTATGTCGCTTCTATCCTTGCGATGATTACGATCAAGTTAATCTAATATTATACGCTTGATAATGATGTTTCGAGGATATAACGTTCATGATATAACAATATTACCCAGTATGAGATAGATATCGGTTGACATAGATGTCTAAAAATATTGGAGAAATCTTCAGAAGATAAAATTGTATTAAAAATAATTGTTATATAATAAAATATTACTTTATAAAGTAAATAAATAATTTTATAAAATAGAATTATTATATAACAATTATTATATAACAATTATTATATAACAATTATTTCTAAAATAATTTTATTTTATGAAAATTTGCGTAATGTTACTATGAATATTACATCGGTTAATTTAACAAGCATAATGTTAAATTAATTTGGTTGTAATCGTCATAAAGATAGAAGTGGTATTAAATAAAAATAAAAAATGCTATATCAGTGGCAGTCATATAAAATGAAAATTTTTCTCAAAATGATTATCTCTAATTTCTATTGTGTAAGAGACAACTGCATTGTATTACATGAATTATCAAATTATGATTAAACAAAGAACATTGTAATTGTACTTTTCTTTAACTTTAATAAAATCACAAAATAGAATTATTGATGTAACAATTATTTCTAAAAATAATTTTCTTCAACCTCTATTATGAAATTATATTATTGAAAAATAATTACAATGTATTGTTAAATTATGATTGAACAGAGAAGCTGTATATACGTTATAATTGTATTTTTTTAAACTTTATTCGATATAAATTCTAAATTTTAAATAATGCTTTGTCGATGAAAGAAATCAAATGATAAAATTTCTTCATAATTTTTTGAAATAATTATCGTTAATTGAAATACAGTATGATGATGCCAGGAAAATAATGCGTCTATTCCGGCTATTGTTGATATGTTAGGACCATCATCTATTGGGTATCGGCCCTAATTATCGAATGCCCTGCACCAGCAACACGGCGTGCTTATTGCCTCTCATCGAATTATACGTTGATTGATTCAGATTGCGCTCGGATTGTGAATACTAGCGAATTAGGTAAACCGATTCTGCTAATTTCGCTTGGTGAGTTTGCCGAAATGAGCTTTGCCTATATGGATTTTCGATGTCAAGAATGCCTTCCGTTAAACAAAAGTAGGTCATATGTGTCAAGTGTAGGAATTTGTCACGAAATTACTACAAAAATAATTAAATATATAACTGTATCAACGATATTATATACAAATTTAATACTTATTATCTAGAATTTTAAAAAAATTGCGGGATTGACATAATGCATGTAGATTATCTAAACTAATTCATTAATTATTACATTATACTATTAGATAATTATTTTTATAGATACTATTTATATTCAATGGGGATGCGATTGAAATTCTAATTGATATAAACAAATATTATATTCTGTCTGAATAGCCGATTTAGCTCAATAAATTTATTATTTTTAAAAATAATAGAGTCCAAAAATCTATAATAATTTTATTGATAAATAAAATTGCGATGAAATATAGAAGATTTCATTTGATTTTTAAAATATAGATAATGTTACGTTACTTTTCATTCAACATGTGACATGGATAAATGATTCGAGCGTTAATCAGCATAAAATCAAATATATCGATTTCCATAAGAATAATATTACGAAGCCGTTCCGTTGTAAAAAGTCACGAGTTATTCGGAACTCATTGCAACAATTGGTCCTTTTAAAAAATGTTAAAGTGCGAGCACAAGTTAGAAAAAAAAGAGGAAAGCGAGCAGTAAATTTATTTTCGCCAAAGTAGCAATGCTCGTTACACTCGCACAGCACTGAATTACCTGTCCACTACGATGTTCTTTTTTTCCGCTATATTGATTGGGCTACGAGACTTCCTATAGCTAATAAAAGTATTCGAAAGTTGGCAAAAAAATGTGTGTCGTAAAGGCAGCGCAAAGAATTAATAGCACAATCACTTACTTGTTATAAACTAATAATTTCGTTTACTTCTCATTGGCAAATTATATCCCTCTTAATTTTATCAAACTCTGTTAAATTATCGGTATTGCGATTATCTGGAAGACAATCGATAGAATATTATCGCTAGTATATTATACCAAGAGAAATGATATAACTAATAGTATATAAAAGCAGCCATTTGTAAAATGCATGAGTAATTAATTCGAAAAAAGATTTTAAAATTGGAGAGAAAAATTATAAAACTTATAAATTGCGCTCTCTAATACAACATATATTTTTCAGTAAAGCATATATATAAATTTTGCTGAAAATTATTATCTGCTTTTGATCCGCAGTTATTTTTCGCTGCGTGCAGAGTATCATTGTGAGAGTATCACGTCTCATGCGAATAAAACACTTTGACGACATACTGAATAAATGAATGTTTCACTCGACATGCATTTTAATAGCATCGGTTTCGCATGATTATCGCTAAAAGCGACGCGATTACGAACCTCAACTCCGCAACCAACAATAATATCGTTGACAAGCAACGATATTTGTATATTAATCATCACGAGAGATAATGACGGCAAATTGTCAGTCGCTATTATTAATTACTCTTTTACCTTTCCATCATAATATTTTAGTATACATATTCCAATATAATATAATTTATGTTTAAATACAAATAAAAAAATAGAAATCTTATGAATTAAAATATTGAAACAGATGCATCTTATGAATATTATACAGATGCAGATTATTATTATATCGTAGAAAATTGTTTTCTCAAGATATATTGAATCGGCCACATTACTATCAAAATAAATCTTGGTTCAAAGAGAGTCCGTAACATTTCTCGAATTGAACTGACGCTCTACGAAGTAGAATATCCTTTGCAGCATACTCAAGGGAGGACGATATATTTATTCGCTTGAGAAACGCGATGTGGTAGAATCGATTGAGATGACAGAATTTACATCGTAAAGATCCAGATCGACGTTATCGAATACGTTTCTAAAGCGAAGAAGACTTAGATAATAATATCTCAAGTATGTTGTTACGGATCTTCCGGTAAAAATAACATTCTTCTTTTTAACGTTATACATGATATTCTTTTCCGTCTAAAAGATACAAGGTAGCTAGAAATTTGCATACTTTACTAAAATTTCTTTCTATTTAATGTTTAATTTGTAGAATGGCTGTATGTTCTGTTATTTTAAAAGGTTTCACGATTTTTGAGATATGCAGCAAACTTCAGATCTCTTCTTTAATTTTAATTAATTCAAATAGAAGTGCAAGTCGCTTGTGGAATGGTGAAATTAGTTAGTTTAATTAATTATTTTTATTTTAATTTCGCTTGAGGCGCATCAATTAACCATAATAATTTGTGATTAATGAAAGTATGGTTGTACTTGTTAAAAGAGACGAGAAGTAGTGGAGGAAGCGACGAATGCATTTTCATGCGATAATTCGATAAAGCGAATGAGTCCAGGATTGGCCTCTTAATTGCGAAACAACGATTTGGAAAGTCAGTACGCAGTAACATTATAGCCATTATGAGGGTCGAAAGAGGCTTCGGTGTAACCGAGCTCAGGGGGTAGCTCTTACAAAGTGAAGCACGAGCAATTCCGTAGGAGGAACCGTATGTCGAAGTGGCGAGGCACTTCTAAGTGCTTGTGGGCCTTCGAAGAGGTTGAGCGACGCGAAGGGTCGTACTAATATCTACCCTCTTGGCCTTTCACCGCATTTCACTTGCTATCACCTCTCGAACATATTTGGTCAGAAGGAGGTAACGTTAATCGAACTGTTCACGAAACTTAGGCTAACTGGCAGAGATGTGCACTAAGGGGTATCGATGTAACAACTTAGGTCGATCTTGAATGAATTTAGTTTCATCTTGAATTACGTCACTCTTCCGGCATAGTCGAAGCATAGTCGAAAATCCAAGAATGTTATAATTAAATGGATATATATCACTTGTATAGTTATTCTTTCTTTCATAAAAACTATTTATAATATTATTTTTTCAATTATTTAATATTATTCTTATCAACGTTTAAAATTGTTTCGCGACTGATATATTTGTCGTCATTAATTCTCTTCCTAGTTTCTCTTCTTCTTTGACAATCACGCTAATGTGCATGTTACAAGCCGAATCTAGCTCTCATGCGGTCCGACAAGAATTTTTCGTTTTTTTTTCTTCTATACGATGATCATTATACTAACCTTGTTAGGTGGCGCTTGAATTCCGTGGAAAGGTAAGTTTTCGTAGAATGTCTTCGTCCCCGAGTCGGGCAGAACTTCCGACACACTGTTCACATGATTGTTATTCGCGGCTTGATTGGGATCTGCAATTGCAAAAAGAGAATGACATTGCATAAATTGTCGACGATGGCAATAGACTCGACGTTCCACGATCGACCAACACATTTTAACTCAATCCAATATGAAAACCAATTTTTATTATTACACAGTAAAAAGAATATAAAACATGGTAACAGCGAAGAAAAAAAAAGCTTGGAACAGATTGCAATTTCGAATTGAATTTCAAGATATATAATTATAAGATTAAAAAATTCTAAGCAATCAATCGCGTAATTAATGCAATTTTTTTCTTGTATCAGGATTCTGTATTTCTGAATCCTACGATTCGAGCCTAGCTTTCAATTTATGATTCTATTTTTTTCATTTAATTTTTCAACTTGTACTATGAATACGAAATATTTATAACTTGAAATATCGACACGTAGAATAAAAATATCTCTCTGTTAAATTATGTAGCATATGCAATAAAAAATTTTGTATAATTTTAAAAAAGGATGATGCGTGAAATTATAAATGCGTGACATTATATGTATTTCTAATACTATTAGTTTACTAAGACAAGTGTAATTTATGTGGTCGGTCGTTGTGTGTATTTTCTGTTAATGCGAAACTATTCTTGCGAATTCGTGCGGCATGTATATGTGGACTGTCTATAGCTAAATAATCCTTTACTTCGCACTAATGATTGCGGCATTCGCATGTATCTGTGAGCTCACATTTACGTGTGTATTCCTTCTATCCGGCGATGTGTCTTGGCGAAGTAACACATAATGTTGGGGAGGAAATCCGTCAATTTTGGGGAAGGTTCTAAGTTAAATTATGCGAGCAAGTCAAGTTGCGCAGACATGCGTGTTATGAAAATATTTTATACGTACCTGCTCCAGGTTTTTTTCGCTTACGAGACGCATTGCCACGATGCGGTTCGTGAGATGGCTCCATAGTGTGCAATATCCGCTGTCGTGGCATGATTCTTTTGTAAGTCACAGCTAAACATACAATCAACAACGAGCGATGTCACAAACACATAAAGCTCTTTCATGCGATAGCTCGATCAAACGTAATCGGTTATGGATGTTAAATAATACAGAATACATAAATGTTTCATCTCTGGTTTTAAGATAAGCGTACTATTACAAAGACAATACAAATAAAAATATATTATTATAAGAGAATGAATCATCTCATATGTTTTCTCAAAAAACTAATTTGTTTTCATGTTTTCCTTACAATTTGAGATGCAACACTTTGTATAAATTGTAAAATATACTTATTAGTAAAATACTTAGTAAAATATTCATTCTTAAAATTTCTTTCAGATAATTAAATTGCGCATCTCAAATTAAATTAAAAATTATATACATTTTATGTATTTTAAAAGAACCATATACGTTATTAAAAGTAGCATATTTGTATCAATGAAAAATAATAATGTAAATAAATAATATTTTAATATTAAATTGTATAAAATAAATGTAAAATATAAATGAAATATTTATTTTTTTCGTTAATATAATGAATTTAACAAATTAATAAATTGATAAAGATAATTGATAAATAATGAATTTAATTTTAATTTTTTGCGCTGGATATTGATTTTTCCGAGTTTCGAGTATTCAGTCATTTATTAAAATCTACAGAGAGGGACTAATTGTAAGTAACGATAAAGCTCTTAAGCATTGTTCTGAGGATAATAAAATCGAATTTTCCTAAAACACGAAGTTTCTGCCGGTATGGAAAAGTTAGATGTTTAATTACCCACCGCATACATTAGCTGTATGTTTAATGAGATTTCAAACTTCTCTACGAGACATGTACGTGTAGAATACGTACTTTACTTATATTATATACTATCCAATAACGTGGCAGCATTTTCCTTTCATTGTGTAGAGACACGTAAAAAGTTGCAAAAGAGAAGTCACAATTAATGAAAGATAATATGATAAAGTTTATTATTAGTCTATGACGACAAAAAAAAAATAAAAAAAACAAAAAAAAAATAAATCGAAAAAAAAAACTATAGAAAAAGTAACGAGAAACGCGTTCTGCCAAGAATGAAATCATAAAATCAATAACGTAAGATATTGGCAAGATAACTAGATAATACTACGGAATCTATACACACGCACACATACATACGTTTATGTATATATATATATATATATATATATATATATATATACACACGTGTGTGTTATATACATACGTACATATATATAAAATATTCTATAATAGAAGATATCGATGAAATATGTTGCTATGTGTTTATAAAGCTGATAATGTAGTCGCTGAGATTCTCACAAAGTGCGTTATTTTTTCGCAGAAAATAATAAAATAATCTTTGTAGTGGCTCATTATATGTATAATACCCTACATATATATCTTGTGGATTCGAAACAAATTTAGAGGATACATTTGGTTTATTTTCGGTATGGATTTGTTTAAATCATTTGCATTCACAAATATTTGCTTCTCCGCTGATCGTGAATCTAGCTTATATCACTGTAAGCGCATCAAATTTTAGTGTGAAATTAGAAATACTAATATTTAGAAATATTCTTAAGAAGTGTTCCAAATTTTAAAATTATGAAAAATCATGTGTATGCATGTGTGTCTCACAAACAGAAATACAAGGGGGGACAAAGCAAGCGGTCGCGAATGTAAACGGATTAACATCGGATCGCAGTTTGCGACTCTCTTACCTGTTTTCTCTCGAGATATACCGGGCAGGGTGGCCTGTTCCTTGAGTTGTACACCAAACATGGCTTTTATTTTGTTAGCCCGGGCGAGCATACCGTCCTCGTGTAGACTGTTCAAACTGGTTGTTCTTTGTACGGCCTGATCTTTCCTACCGCGGCGGAATACCGCGCGTGCCGGATTGCAGCCGATCGGTGACAAGGGCGTCTCATCTAGATATCGCTGTCTGAACGGTTCGTCGCTCTGTTTGCCCACCAGCTCGTTACGCAGATTAGATTCGTTCGCGCGAACGCTCAAGCCGCCGGATCGTAGGCTGTGAGTTCGATTGATGTGCACCAGCACGCCCGGCTTCAAGGGCCATCTTGGTGCCGGGGTCGGCTGCACCGGGCTTTGCACCGAGTGCGAGGATACCGTAGGACTGGGCGGTCCACCGTCTGGACTATTATAACGATCGGGGTCATACGAGAAATAATCGAGTCGGATAAATGGGATCGATGGGACGCGATGCGATGAGTCTTGGTGATAAAATTAGAGAAAAGGATAAGTATTTTTGTAATTGACTTTATAATAATAAAATGTTTGTTAAAATTTTATGTAAAATATCCGCAATACGTAATATTGGACGTGTAGATATAAGAAATTTTTAATGCATTTTAATGATTTATATTCAAGCAATATATATACATATATCAAAAGTTAGCGTACATCTTTTTGAGATGAACCTAATTTACATAAAACATGAGTGGTTTAATATCTCTTTAGAAGAGAAATGGCATTTAAATTTAGAAACTTTATTGGAAACTCATTGTGCGTTGTCCCATTTATCCCAAGGATCTCAATTACCCTATTTGACCCGAATTGTTGTGCAAAGTCGACCATCACGAGAGAGACGGGAGATCAAACGTGCAAAAGAGCGGATAAAAGGATAAATAAATCAATTGTACGAATTCTCCTTATCAAGCTTGTTGAATTTGACAAGATAATAAATAAATATTTTTTAAACAATTTTTGAAACCCTTCCACATTCTAAATAAAATGTCATACAAATTTTAACAAATAAGCCATATGTTTTGCTATAATAGATATAATTTATTCGCGAAGTAAAATTTTCTGTAAGCTTCTTGACAATGTGTTTTTACATTAAGTTATCACCCCGAATTGCATTATCTAAATGGGAACATTGCATGGCATGTCGTGTCTCTGGTAGGATCAGAGGACCTCTAAGGATAGAAATAAATCTCAGTGCAGAAAATCCGCCGTAGCGCTCAAGCGCGTTTGTCTTCTTTCTCAGCTCGCGAAATAACGAAATTTTAGTACTATAAAAATAGTATGCTTGATCGATATTGAATCCCGTGAATAAATTAAAAATTCTGTTGTTGAATAATGTTCAAATATTTATGATTATTTATTTATATAAATTCGCGAAAAATAAAAGTATGAATTTAATAAATGCATAATATAAATAATAATTATAAATTTAATCATTTATATATCTCCTAATTACTTATAATTTATAATTTAGACATTTCACTTGTAACGAGCACAGATTATAATTATAAATATAATTATACTAAGTTAGTTATACTGATTATACTAGGAGAAGTGTAGTAATATAACAACATGCGTTTTAATTTAATTATAAATTTTCTTTCTCTCGGATAAGGCAGAATAATCTTGGAAGTAAATTTTAAATGACGCTAAAAGATTAATTAATACTAAACTAAGAGAAAAGCAAAAGATAAAATTATACAACGATAAAAGATATTTTTCTGGAATATCCTCAAACTATAATTAATTCTCATCTTTATACGAAATGTTTTCAATAAAATAGTGCTGATTTAAACATCGGATAGGCTGTTGTTAAAATTGCATATAGGTATTTTAATTCATGGAATTTTCAAGGTCCGCGTTCGAAGCGCTCAAGGGAATGGCAGAAAAATGTCGTCGTGAATAGAGGTCGGGAAATCGTCGTCGAGTATTGCCGTCAAGCGTACGTATAAAAGATTGCATTGCGAGAAACTGCGATTTTTCCAGCACGATTCATAGTACGACGTTTTTCCATTCGGTATATTTCCCGCCACAGTGACGTAGCCACTGTTTGCGGATCCTTCTGGTACTGTATACAAACACAGATGAACTTCGAAGTTCCTTCGCTCTTCATTTCAAGGAACGTTGATCTTTGTCATCATCTTTCTATTTTTTACATTTCTTTTTTTCTTTATATTTCTCGTGCCATTTTATCATTTCTTATATTACTTGTTTTCTTTTTTCCCTTTTTTTCTTTCTCTCTCTTTCTTTTTTGCCTTTTTTATCTTTTATCTTCTTTTGTGTCTTCATTTCTTTTCTTTTTTACATTAGAATCCTTTGTTACGCCATTGCTCGACATTTTGAAGCTTTCCAGCACTTTGCAATTTTATTACACGCTTCGTTTAAAATCTTATCGTAGAACCATGTTACATTGCTCATGGATCGAACTACCCTCAGCGAACGGCAATTATCGACGTGCGCGCGAGTGTGTGTGTGTCGGGACTAATTTAATGACTCGTGTTCGCTAAATCGGGCAGGCTGGGCGACCCCTTTTAAGAGAGTCCGTTTGAAATAAAATAATTCGTCGAATGCGAGCGGCATGCGATGACAAACGTACCTTTCCTTGATGCCGTGCACGTGCAAATGCACTCGTGAGTGTGGTGACTATCCGTCAAGACAGATTTATCGCGATGTCATACGTGAGCGTATTTTTTGTTCAATTTATCATTGGATCGCTAACAAATAAGCGATGTGGAAAGAAATTACGACGAGATTTCATGAATTTGTGAAATTGTGCATTTCCAAGAGAGCTCTATTAATGGAAGCGTACACGGTAAACCGTGAAATTGCGCGCGAGCTAATTTAGAAAATGAAACAATTATCGCCCGTTCGTTACACGAAATTAGAATACGCGTGCCGCGGTTTAATGTTTGCTGCGTTCACGCAATCGATTAATCTGGCATGTACAATAGGCGTCAATAATCCCTTTATATCCGAATTTGTGACATTCCCCGCACATTGTGTTTATATATTAGCGCATCATGATACCGTTGATTTTGAAAAGAATCGGTAATGTTATCAACGAGTAGAGAAATGAAAAAAAATTACACTTGAGAATTAAATGGGATCGTGTATTATCACTGAAAAGCAGTGAATGAGTCACTGATGGCTTCGGTTATAAGTACAGCACTTCAATGAGATTTTACAGATCAGAAATCTCATCTGAAATCTCATTGAAATCTCTCATCACAAATCTGAAATTTTACTAGAAGAATCAGTTAATGATAGTAGCTGTTTTCAATCGATGATATTTTAAAATTGTCTTATATTGTAATTGTAACAATGTATTTTTTAAAGGAATATATTCGAATTTGATCGAGAGTTTTATTTTTATTGATTTATTATGTTTTAAGAATAAAAAAGCATAATATGTATGATTTTGAATTTCAATATTAGTTATGTCATTCCAGAAATATATATATATATATATATATATATATATATATATATATATGAGAACTTCAAAAATTAGAATGCAATATAAATAGAAAGCTTTAAAAGTTATAATCTGGAAAACATAATATATATCAATATTATTAATTTTTTCAGTGAAATCTGTCATAATCCGAAACGTAAGAGCAAATGTAAGTTTTTATTAAAGATTAGAAAAGATTAGAAAAAAATATTAACAAATTTTCAATAAAATTTAATATCCTTGCTTTGATCAGTGATATTTTTACTTCAATTTAAGAGAATATGTTTAAAAGTATATTTTTAAAATATATGTTCTATTAATTTTATATTTAATTCTAACAAGTCAAGAAATAATTATTAAGTTATTCGTTACGAAAAATTGTTGATTTTTCTCAGATTCTTTTTCTTCAACAATCATAATGTATTAATATCTAAATAGAATACATTCGATCGGAAAATCAAAGACATTATTGACGAAGGCATTATTGATATCTTTCTATGTTAAAATGTATGTTATATAATCAATTTTGTGATAAATAATCTGTTCAAAAGATGAAGACATGAATTTTCCAGAAAAAGAGATAATTTCTAAAAAAAAGATGCAAAGAAATTCGATTCTTTCTTCAAATAGCACATCTCGTTCTCTCGCAAAAATGTATTATTTCATATATTTTTAATTATATAATCAAAATAATCTTTAAAATAGCATTATATGTACATGATTATTATATTTTTAAAGAACATATATATATTCTTCGGGATTCAATATCGTCCAATCTTGTTTTTCATTGCACTATAATACTTTACTATCAGAGAAGATACATCTGTACAGTAGTGTACTATTCTACTCTAGTGTAATTTCAATTTACAGTGAATAAGTTTCTGATATCCTTAAATTCCATGCAAAAATGAGTGCATCGTTCTATTCTGCTTTAAAATGAAGAAACAATTTGCACAATGCAATCCCTTCTCTGTCGTAACACACGCGACATTTCTTCGTCACGCGAAGGATATCATTGTTGAGTGATGTCGCATTCAACAATAAAACCTTGCGAGACCTGTCACGAAGGCAAAATAAACACGTGCATTTTATTTTTCCCCGAACAATTCACCAAGTGGACATTTTTTCGCAGTAAATCGACTTCTTGTCTTCGTGAATTAACGCAATTGAGGTGAGATGCCATGTGCTCATTGTGCAACCGGTCTGTTGTGTGCATTTCATTGTATAAACGGTTACTTGTAAACTTTCTCAGAAATATATCATGTGGGAGAACCAACATCGATAAGAGAAAGGATTAAATTAAATGTAAATTCGACCGTACAGCTTGTAGATTTATAGGATAAAGCGCGTTGCTCTCTATCGTTCCGTGTATCAAAAAGATTGCACGTGCGAAACATGTGAAGGAACATGACGAAAATGTGTGCGGATGCATTCTTTCTTTAAAAATATCGCGGTAAAGAGACCTTGAGCGTTAGTGTTTAAAAATATTTTCCATCGTTGCTTCTTTGTAGCAACGCAACTTGTAACGTTATCGTGCAAAAAGCTTGATAGCACGCGCGCTGTTTCAACGCGACAAAAGGTTATAGAATAACCCTAGAATATCAGCTGTAGGAATATAGGTAGAAAAATAGGATAATTTTAATCTTCATAAAATAATAGCAGAATTTTTACGCGATCGTGCTTTAATTATAATCCGCGCTTACCGAATGCAAAGAAGGATTATAACATAAATAGAATTGTATTAAATTTTTACGTTGCGAGTTTCACAGTCTAAAATTGATAATTTAACGTTTAACTAATGCTTTCGATCATCGATTCTCTATCGAGATTGATAGGCTCCCGGGAAATGTCTAATCCGTGCAAATCCTCCACCTACCTTGTAATTTAGAAGGTATTCCCCCAGCAACCTCTCACGGTCATTACAAAGCCCACATTAATGATTACAAGCAATCTTCGCTGAATTATGCAAGAAGTACACACGCGATAACTACAGCATGTGAAAGAGCATCATGTAGAACACCTCGTTCGCTCTCTCGCGAACAATTATAACTACCTACCTCGCTGTAGGTAGTTGACAATAAACTATTGCAGACCGGAAGCGGTAGTTAAATTATGCAATAGGATATGTATTCAGGTGTTGTAGAGAGGATCATTTCCTGTGAGATTTCACGTCGGAGACAAACTTGCATGCTATCGTGAACGAGCGCGCCAATAGAAACCGGCTACCCTTTATGTGTTTATCGATCATCAAATGCATGATATTATGTTTGTTAGTGTTAGTGCAGGTAGTTGAGAGATATACAAATGAACAATAGACATAACTCGGAATAACTATGGTCAATGAAGTAAAGTGAACGTTTAATGCGACAAATTATATTCTAACCAAAAGTTAGCATAACCTATTTGAAGACAATACATGTCATTAGTACGTATATATTTGAATTTGTATTCTATATTTGAATTTGTCTTCTACCTGTGAATATTTTGCAAATTTATAATAATAAAATAAATTTATACTAATATAAAATGTGTAATGTATACTTTTTAATCTCTAATATTGTCGATTTAAAATTATTCATTATTGTAAATGCAACTTTATCTTAATTTTGAAACAATAACGATAAATTCCTTATATACAAATAAAATTTTGATATAATTATTTTTTAACGGTTATGTTAAGTAATTATTATTATTGTTGAAAAAGTGTATGAAAATAGCTGTAATGCTTTTATTTTGCGATATATATCTAACAATTATAGATATATTTTTTTTCATACATTTTTTCGCTTTATTTTTAAATTATTTCTGCTATATAATATGTAATTAACATATATGATTTAATATCTTTAAAACGTATATTAATTTAGAAGAATTATAATAATCTATTATTATAATATATAAAATTTAATAAAAATTGATTATGTAATAATTTATAAAGACTATGTACATTAATAGAAACTATGCATAAGCGTAATAATACCAATAAATTCTGTCTACAATTATGTGTACAGAGAACGTGTTTTATAAAGCAAAAAGTGCATTCTATATTTTTAGCAAACTGAGCTGTTTTTTATAGCCTCTATTAAGCAAACATAAATAAAGCTGACAAATTAAGAGTAATTGTTCAACTAAAATAACAAAAAATAAAAAACGTAATGTGTTACGGTTTGTACTTACTGTTCACGTTCCTCCAGCTCGACCACCCGGTTACTGTCTGTGTTTTGTTTAGCAAGTCCAAATTAAAAAGTAGAGCAGAAACGAATCAGTTTCGTGTTAGTGAAAACTACTGAACGAACGCATGCTTGCTGCTCTAATGTTATTTGTCATTAATTCTGAATAAAACTCGTATATTTTTTGAGAAACTTATAAGGGAGCATTATTTTGTACTAATTTTTCTTTTTAAAATTTTATTACACACAAATGAAAATAAGTTTTTAAGCAAAGTTATTGCTTTTTGTATCGTGTCGAGATCATAATAATTTATTATTAAAAATATGCTTTTATTAAATTATTAAATTATTATTAAAAATTAAAATACAATTATTAAATGCAATTATTATTAAAAATATGCTTTTCATATTATTTGAAATTAATTTTTAAGCATTCACAATACCAATGTTTGACATAATATTAATATTTTATATAGCTATACAATTGTGTTATTCTGTTTTACTTTTATCAAATATTTATTTTATAAAAATTATATTACGCTCACATTTATTTTGTAAAAATTATATTACATTAATTATATTACATTAGTTACAATGCAAATAATTAAAGTAATAAATTTAATTATAAGAGAATTGAGAAAGAAAGAAAGCGATAGGAAAATTATTGCAATTAATTAATATACTTTTATCACAATTATTAAAAGCAATTTTATGTGGCAGCGATATTGAATGTAAGTTCTATCTTTCTTTTATAGTATCATTTTTATGGTGCCATTAAACTTATTACAGTTATAAATGTAAAATTATAAATTTGACTTATGGAGTTGTATTCAATAAATAATAGTATTTACGAATGAGCTTACATTGCATGTATATCGATCGTTGTTTAACATCATTGTATTCGTACATATGCATGCACTGATATTTAGAATTATACTCAAGATCTTGTTAAAGTTACAATCTTGTTATGTAAAAAAGCTTAGACAATTTGTGTCAACCATTTATGTAACACATAATTAAATACATATATCTGTTGTTATAATCTCATTTATAACGATGAAGGAAAATGGAGATTATCACTAATAGTAACTACTTATGTTTAAAGGCAGATTATTCATCTTAATAGAAAATATTAATCTAAAATAAATCTAGCTCTCTCGAGATGACTTCTTTAGTTTTTTTAGTTTCAAAATTAATATTTATATAAAAATAACTTTTTCTATTCACGAAATCAGATTTCCAAAAATGACAATATTCATATTTTTAATCAACATATTTTTAAGACATTTTTTAACTTACATAAGTTTACATAAGTTATTAATATCTTATAATGTCATAAATTTTTATAATTTACATCGTAAATTATATTTATAATAAAAGAAAAGATATTAGACATTATTGTAATTTAATTAATTCGAGTCAACATTACAGCAGCATAGCACGCGTTTGTCCATAATAATAGTTTATATATATGTATATGAATCTCCATCTAAATGGAAATTTCGTTGTTTAGCTACTTTATACAAAAATATCAAATAGTGAGCATGCTTTTATTCTACTTGGCATAAAATGTATAAGATATAATTTTTATACAATGTGTAATATATATCTACGTTTGTTTTTGCATGGACTGAGTTAATAGATGTTTATTGTTAATTATAATAAAAATAAAATATACTTTTCGGAACAAAATCTACTCTTTCAGCAAATATACGTAACCATTAAATAAATCAGTTTAATGGATGTTTTACGGATTCGTGGTTAAAATAACTTTGATATACTTACGATTACGCGCGTTTCAAGCCATTATTTGTTACGAGAAGGTTTATCAGTCAAATTCAATTACGTTCACAAAGAAAGCACAAAAATTAACACAAACAATTAATTAATAATTTTTTAAATATAAAACAATAAATTTACATATTTGAGTCTCTTGTATGTCAACTTTTCGGGAAGATATTTTTTACAACGAAAATATATATGATATCGAGGATATATATATATAAATACAAAGATGATATCACAGTTTACTTATGGGATTAAAAAATTATATCATTAGTATATATATTGAGGAAATATAATTGTTAATTGCACTCTTTTTCTGTGCTTAATTATAGCAATTATAAATTTCTCGTCAAATTATAAAAAAATAGTTTATAAATTATATAAAATAATATATATATAATATTCACATTAGCTAATTTGAATATGTATATATGTATCGAAATATATATATATATATTTTTTTTCCAAGTTTTATCAAAAATGTATTTTGATTGCAAATAATTCAGATTTTATGTTTATTGCGCGGAATATTTAATTTGTTGAGGATACTATAAAATAAAAATTATTATTGTAATAAAAGTTGGAAGTTACGTTAATTTTACGCGTATCCAAATATATATGTTGTCGATCCGATGTAAAGAGAATCGAAGAAATTTCGCCTCACGATCTAGTATATCATGCAAGTCGATAGTGTGATATATCAAATAGATGATACATCAAATAGACGATATATCAAGATAACTTACATTTCATCTGACTGCGTTTACGTCGACACACGATGTAGATCGCCACGCAGATTAGTATTAGCACTAGTATTAGGACCACCACTACGACGATAATAATTAGCAGCAGATTACCCTCCAATTGATGCCACCAGGGTATATGACCTGCAATGGGATAGGTTGTACCGTACAATAATCGATAACGACAATCGATACAGAAATAATACGTACAAAGAGAATAATATACGCGCAAGGCACTTTCATTATTTATATCAAAATGGCAACATCACAATAACTACGTCAAACATTAAAAAAATGATATCTTTGATTCATGGCATGATTATAGCGATAATTGTTGCAAAATAAATATATCGAGTATCTTCAAAATTATAAAAAAATATCTGAAAATATATGTTGAAATGGAAAGAATATCTTTAAAGAATAATATGTTTAATAGAAAGATATTAAAAAGGAGATATAAATAACTGAAAAGAGCAAAGTTTATAGATTGTATTTCAAATTCCCAAAATTTATCAGCTCACGTTATAGCATAAAGTTTAAGATAAAATCTTTATCTTTATATTATCCATTTACGCAGAGCATTTGAATGTAATGCATTTATTCAATTAAAAAAAATCTCAGAAAAATTACTACTAAGAATCTTACATCGTGAAATAATACAAATATGTAATACAAATGCTAATTACATATGCAGTAAATAGCACAATTACATATAAGATATACATATCATATGCAAAAATCTGGAATAATATAGACTTACTTTTATGTCCATGATGGGCTGTAAAATAACAAAATTAATAATAATCTTAAATATTTGTGAATGATAATTCAAAATTTATCACCTTGATGCTATTATAAATTAAAGACAGATCAAAACACATTACTTTAATTAATTTAATTATGTAAGTTTTATATATTTTATGCAAGTTACAAATCTATAACGCAAAAATGTCACATGTTTATTTAACATATTGCGGATAAAAATATTATGAATTTTAATTTAGTCAACACTTATATATGGTTTATATTGTATTTGTATTTAATTTATATAATATCAGATTAGATATTAATTTTTATTAATTTTTTATTAATTATTAATTTTTATTATAGATATTTTTTTTTAATTTATATTATATTCCTAAGGTTATATATTAAAAATGTGTTAAATTATTGTATTTACACATATTTTATGTTATCGTATCTACAATTCACTCACAACAAATAAAGCGGAAAACGGTTATTTTGTGTGTATTTGCAACTTTTTAATTATGTAAATTAAAACTTTTTATAGCTGGTACAAAGAAACTTCTATGTCATATTAATATATCACTTTTATACATTATATATTTTTTCATGTTTCCGTAAATATGAAAAAAAAAACTGTGCCGAAACGTAACAATATTTTCTAATATAAAGTTTGTGTGTTCAAAACTTCTTGGTAAATTCTTTCACTTTCTTTGCAAGAAAATATAAACTTGGAGCTATTAGCGAATCGATGAAAAGTTTGCTGTACCAACCTGGTATGTCACGTTCGCATGGTACGGAGTGGCCGATTGTGTTATTCGCTACACACACGTATGTCCGGAAGTTAGTGATCGAAGTATCAAGGAGTATGTAACTTCGCCCATTTCGCATTTCCGCGATTTGCTCCAGCGTATCATTTTCGTTCTTCAAAGACCAGCTGAAGTCCGTCTCCTTTGGATTTGCGACAGCCGAGCAAACCACGTAATCCTGGCCATCGAATCGTTCCTTCTCTATGTGGCATTCCGGTTTAACTATATGGAAAATACAGTTAAAGAGAACGAAAGTAATGTAAAAAAAGAGATCTATGATCGATTGTATGATTAATAGCGATATATTGAAAAAAAATTGAGTATTTAAAATATATTTTTAAAAATAGATATTATGTAAATAATTTGAAAATAATGTGACAAATTTCTCTTCGAATGAATTTAAACGGTGAAAAGATGAGAGGAAAATTGTACACGATCATACTCCTTCTTAAATGCATCTATTTCTTGGAACGGTTTGCTCATTCACTTGAAAATGCAGTGGAAGCTTACATTGCACGTTCATAACCATCGAGATATTCAAGGAACCGTGACGATTCGACGCCTCGCAGTAGTAAGTGCCGTTACTACGTCTGGGTACTGGCATTTTCAAATCGAGCACGTGGCCTTCCATAGTGAAGTTGGTGGAGCCTTCGCGGAACCACCGGAAGTTCGGTTTCGGTCGTGCTTTCGCGTCGCACTCGACAATTTCCGCGATCGTGTCCACTGTCACATTGATTATCTTCTTCGAGATCGTGATATCTTCCGGAGGAACTTTTTAGGAAAGATAAAAATCGAATTTTTAATATATTTTATATATCATCTAAAACGTGAAAGTCGATAGATTTTAATTGAAATAATAAATAAATCCCTTTTTAATATTTTCCTTTTTAATTTATAGAAATATTTTCTGTGTGCTTTAATCTGGAATTAAATTACTGGAATTTATATTTTATATTTACGCCGAAAATTGGAAAATATTAAATTAGACATTTCTAATATTTGCGTGCAAGTAAAGAAAATTTTCTAAAATTATTGAGAATACTTTTGTCCTTTCTATGAAATAATCGTTTAAAAAATCTTAACGCAATCTATTTATGCAAACGAGCGAAGATACGTATCCGCACAAAAAAAAAAAAAAAACTTTAAATGAAACGTACACTCGACGTGAAAGTGAGTGCTGCTCTCCACGCCCGGGCCAATCCCGTTGCTACTACTCTTGCAGGTGAATTTGACGTTATCCTCGTCACGGTCGAGCTGGCCATTCGGCCAGACAGTCAGATTCCATACGAGGGTCGATTGGATGCTCTCGAAGTCGTTGGTCCTCGGGTCAGGCGGATGATAAACGTTCAACACGTAGTATCGATTCGTTTTCGAGAAGTCCATGGGAATATCATCCCTCAACCAGGAAATATTGCAGATTGGAGCGCACTCGACCCAGCACATGATGCTCACGTTAGGTGAGCTGTAGACGTAACCGCGATACGAGTGTAGCTTCTTGATGAACGTCGGAGCCGCTGATGAAAAGCGATAACTCTTGGTTAAGCATGGAATCTGTCATTAAATAATCACGAGAAACGTCGAACAAAATCTATTTTATCACGTATGTAGGAAAATCGATGAATTGTATATTTAATGCATATAAAACATCAGATTTGTCACGAAAACCGACATATGCCACATAGAGTGTTACGCGAATTCAAATTTTCCGTGTTCCAGAATACCCGAGTTCAATTTTGATAAATTGATATATGTTTAAATTATTTATACATGTATAATATAACAAGCAAAGGGAGACTAAATTGTTTGAAGCCTTAAATATCGCTGTTGATCTGGTTTTGAAATGTCGCTACGCAAATCGTTAAATTGCTGGCTATTTGTAGTTATTGGGTGCATTGACATATGTCGCTCACCAGATACGTCGATAAACGTTGTGGCTGGGTCGCCATCGCCGGCATCATTGTAAGCCAGGCACGTGAAATTCGTCTCGGTTTCCAAATTAACTGATTCGATGAAGAGTGTAGCGTCGTTCTCATCTGGAAGACGGTGCCAGCCACGCAGCCACTTGAAGCCCGACACCTTCGGTCGCCCGGGATCCAAGACAAAGCAAGTAATGGATAATGGCTGCTTCTTCACTACTTGTCTAGGTTCATATGTTATCGATGCCGGACCGGGCTTATCTATGGCAATATTTCAAGAATATACAGAATGTGAAAGAAAAACAGAAAAGAGAGAGAAGAAGTGAGAAAGAGGGAGAGACGAACGTTCCCGCTATATATAATCCGATTAACAAAACACGTTATTGTTGGTGCAACATTGCATAAAGATAAAGTAATCGATAATTTATCGATATCGTTGCTAATTAACACCAAATGTAAATGCTTTTACAATGTTATTTGATATTAAAATTGATAATAAAATATTAATATATAAGAGCTTGCAGCTTTGTAATTTATATAAAATTTACTTTAAATAATTTATAATTTTGAAATAATATTTTATATTAATAATTTTGTATCATATGATACGGGAAATGTTTAAAAAATTAAAAATATAAGAATATATACATACGTACAATAGGTATGAGATACATACAAAATTATGAATAGATTTCTATCGCAGATTGTCTGAATTGAACTCGATCTCACGTTTTCTCTTCTAAAAAAATTTATTGACAAATAATATAAAAAATAAGATAAAATTGTATGTACGTGTACGATAATCCGTAGTACCTATTTACATATATCATTGAAGAGCACATGTGAAGTTCGAAACGCGAATAATGGACGTAACGAATTACGGTTGGGACACGTAATGGATATCTCGCCAACTTCTCTTCGATCACCGCATAACACGAATGAGTGACGCGTGACAGAGAGGACTTACAATAAACTATGACAGGCGTGCTCAGAGAGATTGGTCCCCAGCCGGCCTCGTTTCTCCCCTCACAGGAGTAGTTGCCATGGAAGGTACGGCCGACAGATTCCAGCAGCAGCTTGCTAGGGTCGATGTCGCAGAACGTCAACGATTCCTCGGTTGTCGTTGTCATGGCAGTGCTGTTTCTCGGGCAGTCCGGAAGTTCTTTCAATAGATCACCGTCCAAATACCAACGGACGGCTGTCAGCATCGCCGGATTACCGGCATTGACCTCACACGTTAACGAAACGTTCTGACGATCTGCTTCGTTCACAGGTATTTCCGGATCCATTATCACCTCCACCACCGGCTTGTCTACAGATGTGTATGCGTCATAAAAATTGGAATATACATCCACGTCATATCGCGAGTGTAAAACGGAATAAAAAAGTACACGCCGCATGTCGTCGAACTCTCTCTTCAACTTTATTCCTGATGTAATCGCGTAGTTTTATTTTAAATATAAAACCGTCGTTTTCTAATAGAAAAATAATCTATCTGACTGAGAGAGCTATGTCGCGAGAAATGAGAAAGGATAAAGTGTTCCTCCGATGAGATATCCTTCCGAGATTTAGATTTATTATTATCTGGAGCTTTGAGCAATTTTGGATGTCGTGATCAACTGCTTTGTATTAGATTGAAGAATTAAATGTCGCTGTTATCCATCTTACGTAATACGTACAAAAGACCGAGACCTCTACGTCGTCCTCGGAAACGGATGAGCCGGCGTTGTTCTCCAGGATGCATTTGTAAGAACCCATGTCGCTAGGAGTTGCGTTTTTCACTGTGAGCGCCGTTTGTTCTGTGATTCCACCGTCGTAATGCTCTTCGTTTAATACTAAGTCTTCGTTGCCTCGTCGCCTACATCACCCGATTAGGAGAAATAAAACGTAGATGGTGACAATTTATTTTTTAATTGGATATATAGAAATGGCCAAAATAAATAAAAACAAAGATGTTGTTGCTAATTTATCTAATAGAACTAACATTTTTTAAAATTTCCTTGCAAAAAGGTAATTGATGAAAGGATTAATTTTATGTCAATGTATCTTTGTGCAGAAAGCTACTCACCATGTCACTTTTGTCAGTGTAGCCGGATTCGCCTCGTAATCGCAGAATATTAAAAAGTCGTCTGTCTCATTAACCGTTACATTGTTTGGCTTCATTTTGATTATCGGAGGATCTGCGACAGATAAAACGGTGAAGACGTTAATATATGAAGAGTTAGTAATATATGACGAGTAATATATGAAGACTTGACAGAACTTTGACGTAATCGCAGAGAAATTAAACATTTATTAAAGCAAATCTACGAGTGTAAAGAGAAAATGATATGTAAAAGATTTTAATATGTAAAAGTTGTAAATGTTTACGTGTTGTACAAGTGTTTGATATGTAAAAGATGTAAATGAGTCTTTTAATTCAAATCAAGATAATTGATAATTGATCTCTTTTTCAAGTGTTAATAAATTTACGATGTCGTGAAAACACTTCATATTTTACAGTTCAATTACACATTAATTTTTCTATTGGATATTTTTCAAGCAGTTCGAGCTTTCTTGAAATCTTTTATTAATTTTATTTGAACAGTACTTTTCTAATCAGTTTTCATCATTTATTTTATTTTTCTGTTGCAGTAGTAAAATCTTTTTGTCTTTTGATATTTGAAGATTGTGCAGATGTGTATTTTATTTTTATGATTGGCTTACATTTAAAATGTATAACGCGAAATTTGAATTGAAAATTGAAAATTGTTGAAAATTGTTAGATCTGAGAATTTCGTCTGGGTCACATATTATGCACTTAACGCGCGGCAGAAGGAGGGATATAAAACAAAATTCCCGTAAGAGAGTACGCAGTGCGAGAGTGGTTGTCACAGTGCGAGCCGAAACGTTGGAAACGTGCCAAACTCAATGTCTGGAGTTTCTCGTTTCCAATCCATATGGGTAGTCCTCGTTCCGGCTGCAAAACGAAAGTTTCTCCGCCATTTCGCACTGTAACTGGAAGCATCAGGGAAATACGCAACCGTTCGTCTTCTTTTTATCTGTTCCGCGCTCGCGTAATCAAGATATCGTATCTTCGGTAGAAGATGCAATCCTGACTGCACTTCTGATTTCGGAATCAGGTCATAAGTCTATAATGATTGAAATATCGATTGAGAAATAATCTAAATATAATATTATTGCTGGAGCTAGGTAATCTCATGATTAACTGGCGTAATTTAACAATTAATTATTTTTCCTCAATTACGATTTTTGAATAGGTACTTTTTAATAGCTGTAAATGTATTCACATTTATGAATATTATAATGTTTGTAATATAAACAGTTTTAATATAATATTTTCTTTCTTAATACACATCTGAAATAAGAATCTTATATCTTTTAAAATGTCTTAATCTTATAGCTTTTAACATGTTACTATATCACGAGAAAATATAAAAATGTATCGTGTGTTTATTTAAAATATGCAACTGGAAAATCACATAAATGTTGTATGACTATGAACCGTTCTTTTAAAAAAGTAACATAAATATTTATGAAAAATTCTTGAAATTTTTATGCTTTTATTTTAAACTTTTTGATCGTTTCTTTTGAACTTTTTCTTTACTTTTTCTTCAACATGAATTAATGTTTGGACAAACTTATATGCTTGTTTTTACTTTTTTACTAAAATCATTATTCATTTTCAAAATTTACTGCGTTTGAAAAGTCGAACAGAGATTTATATATTTAGAGATCTATCTTGCAAAGAAGTGATAATAAAAATAAATTTCCAATTTTATTAAATTCTATATTACAATCTCTGCTTTTGGCTCATTTCTAAGGGATCTTTAAATCGATAATTTTTGCCTAGATTATGCGTAAAGTTTATTATTTTCTTTTGTAGAGACAAGAACAAAATTTTTGAATTTAACAGCAGAATAAAGTTCTTCTGATTGCTGGCTGCAAAGTTATATTAATTTGCATAGTATTATGCTGATGAATGGCGCATGGGTGTGTAGAGTTATTTATTTAAAGGATTTAGTTTATAAGAGCTAAGTGCATGCAAATGTTAATAACCGTCCTTGTGTAGCTTGCAGTTTCGACGTAGACTATATCCGGCGCGGTATGCAAATATGTGAGTTTGGGGTTACAACGCAATCTTGTTGTAGAGTTTCAATACTATTAAACATAATTGTAATTATAAAATATTAAAGACTATGATTTGTGTAGTTTATATTATTATTACTTATGACAGAAGAGAGAGACAGAGACGAAACATTATTTTACACATGATCCAATTGCTTGCAATATTATTCAATATTTAAAATAGAAATTTCATCTTCCGTGGAGCAAAATTTGTTCAATATTTTGTTCAATATTATTTATTTAACGTTATTTATTTATTATTCATTAATTATAACTTTTTATATTGTATATGCATATTTTTTAGAAAAAAATTAAAATATTAGAAATAGAGAGAAAAATGTATTTCTATATATTTTATATGTAAAATATGTATATATATTTATACATACACATATGTATATACATATATGTTTGTATAGAAAATAATCATTAACTTATATATATATATATATATATATATATATATATAATAAGTAATTTTATAAAAATTATATATATATATATATATATATATATTTATTATATTTTTATATATAATATTATATATATTACATATACAATTTTTAAAATAAAATTTTGCAAATGAAAAAATATATAAATGTAAAATATTAAAAGTAAAATTACAATAATATACTTATATAAAATGTATATTATATTAAAATTATATTAATAAAATATAATAATAATTATAAAATATAATAATTATATAAATAAGATTATGAAAAAATTGATATGAAAGGATTGTCGGTGACAATAATGACTATCTCATTCGTTATTTTTGTAATACTAACTCGTAATACTTACATAATACTTCGATCGTTGTCGTTTCCTTCAATGGTTTCAAATCCTCGATACGAGTAACAGAGTTTTCGGCATAACAGTTGAATGTTCTGCCATTGTCGTATACCGATGCCGTAAAAGCCAAATAACTTACCGTGTCCGATGTACCGTCCTTCTGCGAACATAAATTGTTTTAAATAGTCTCGATAGAAATTCATAATTCGAAGTCGAACTTCTATTATTTATATCATCAATTTTTTTAGCCAAGCTATATCAATTACTTTTTTACTAAAATCAATATTTATTTTCAAAAGTTATTGCGTTTAAAAAGTCGATTTTGAACAGAGATTTAAATATAAATCTTAACCAAGCCTTGACCAAGCTATATCAATTAGAACATCTGCTTAAAATTAATGGGCTTTATTTTTTGCAATGCCTGAATTATTTTTCAACCAAGTTCAGCCGGATTTGGATTAACATTTAAATCATTTATTTTAGAACAATTAAATTATTGACAGATATACATAAATACATATGACATAAATGTTGTATGTGTGTCTTATATAAAGATTTCTTTAAAATTAGTCTTTTTATAAAAATGCTAAATTTATATATATAATTATATATATATATATATATTTATATTTATATATTTATATATTATTTATGAAAGTGTCTAAAATGAATTTTTTAACAAAGAATTTTTTAAAAAGCTTAAATTTGCAAAGAATTGTAAATATGTATATATATATATATATATATATATATATATATATATATATACACACAATTCTTATATACATATATACTATATACATATATATATATATATATATATATATATATATATATATATATACACACACATATGCACATTATACAAATTATTTTCAGACAATTACATGAAAACAGTTCAATTAGTTTTGAATTGTTTTAAATTTAACAGTTCATCAAATTACATGATGTATCGGGAATGATCATATTATCTTATTTTTATGTTATATAGATTTTTTGATCAAACATCTTTGATAAAAAAATGTTGGAATTTTGTCAGTTTCCAATTTGTGAAAAAACGCAATCGCACGCAGCATTCAACGTCCCGCATAATTTTAACGATCCCGTAATTGCATGGCACAGTTGAAAATGTATTAACAAGTCGACACATATAACAATGATGTACAATTTGTTATTCGTATTCGCGATAAAATTAATCAAGTTTCGCGCTTATTTTCTTCCTTTGTGAAATGGTATATTTTATTCTTATCCATTTAATGAAATATAAGTGTTTGTAAAAACCGAGATTATATTTGCCTTTAATAGATATGATTATTTTAATAAAAAGTAACTTCAAATTTATACATATTCTAATAAAAAATTAAATCTGCAAATATTTTAGTAAATCTCGGATTAGTTACTTATTTCCAATAATCTTGATTTTGCTACATATTATTAAGCTCACGAATCTGAATAATTTCTAAAAGATTTCAGTAATTGTTTGTTGTTTATTGAAAAGTTAACAAATGAATATTTATACAAGTCAAAATTTGAACATAGATTAATAATGAAAAATTCAATATTAAAGATTTACAATTTATACAAACATTATTATCTATGCTACACTCAAATAAACATAAAAATTTTCACAGAGGGCATGAAAATACCAAAAATTTAAAAATGAATATATGTATACGCGAGAAAAATTTTTTACATTGTAACTTTCCACGCGAAGCGGGATTCATCTCACATCACCCGGTGCTTTCAGTATGATGAGGCTATAATTATATGATAATGATATGAATTTGTAATTTTATGCATATGTTAAAAATTGATTTTTGTTTACTTTTGAACTCGCTTTCCATTAAAAGTTGTAAATTCACAATATGAGAATTTAACTTGTATAATTATGGATTTCGTCACGCTAAAAATATCGAGACGGATGCGGGATGGATTTCATTTTGCGTAAAAAATTGTGTAATAATATGTGTAATAATGTAATTGTCAATTTTATTTTACACTGAAAGCATCGAATGGTATAGGATAGACTTTGCTTTGCGTGGAATATTGCAAATTTACATGAAGCGTCTCCTTTGCCTACATGTAGTGTTCACTCTCAATTTTTGATACTTTTAAACATCTTATATAGTTCTGTGTGCATGTGTAGAATATAAATAGTAGTAATATCGCTATATAAACTATATTGTATTCATTTTTTCAATGTCAATCTGTATTTAACATTTCGAACTTTGATTTGCATGAACTTTTATTGATTAATAACTTTTTAATAACAATGGATGACTAAAAAAACTTTTTAAAAATAACTCAGACAATATATGTCAAGCTCGAGAGAGAGGGGGGAGAGGGGGGAGAGAGAGAATGAGAATGAGTATATTCATCTAGAAAATCGATATTCTTTATATCATAATTTTTAATTATCTTTTAAAAAGATTTAATCTTAAAATAAAAAATGATTTAACAAAATTAATAAATCTTTGAAATAAAATAGCAGCAATTAACTAAATAGACATAATAAAAGAGGTCAAAGCATAACAATACGAGTACATTCAATAGAATTAAAATTGCATGAAAATGAAGCCAATATACATTTTTCTATGACACTGGAATTTCATATTGTATGCTCATTTTATCTTCTTTTTCCGAAGACAATTTTTTTTCTTTTATGAACCTATTAAGTAACTAAATCTAGAGAAGCTGTTCTGTATTTATTTTCCAAGAATGGCGCCGATCGAAATTTGCGATTCATTAAAGCATACTAGAAAGAAGAGTATGGGACAATATTTGCTGGAAAATCGTTGTAAAACCATCTGAGCACGTAATATCCTGCTTCGCGCGATAAAGAGTAACCAAGTTTAAAAATGTGATCCGTTTAATTCTGTTATGACGCGACGCTCATGTCGGTAGGAATTCGTGGCATGTAATTGCTTGCCACTATGCAAATACCGTTTGCTATCATGTGAAACGTCGCGAACGGATTTAGTCGTGCACCGTCGCTCGTCTCGTAATCAGGCACTCAATAAACAATGCTAATTATGATATCACGATCAGGCAGAATTGCAAATGATAGAAATACAAATCGCGATGATGTAAACTATATTTGGGCATACAATCAAGAACGATTCGTTAATTTCGACGCGAGATGGTTCTTCATCAAACATTGCTAATTGACAGTGCAAAATGAATTAAATTCGCACGATACGTTTTGAATACCTATCTTTATGTTGACATTATCAAATAAATTCGTTTCTTTATTTGCGAAGATATTTGCGAAGCAATGTTTGATTTGCGCGCGAGATAATAAATTTTGTTGTTAAATGTGTAAATCGTCCTGCGATAAAATCATGATTTTTTATTATGTTCGATTAAATGTCGATTAACAAATTAATTTTTAGTTTAATGATATACTTTCCCTATACAATATCTCTTCGTAATATTCCGTGTAAACATTGTTTAAATTCATATATGCAAGAAGAGCAAAATATGAACATTCTGTTCCAGGTGAGACAGCATTTTTTGTGCATAAAGAAACTTTGTTATCGAGGCATCGCACCGTTCCATCTATCTTACGACCTTTAACTGACATTTTTTTTTGCACTAATTGCATCGCGTAGGTGCGAGTGATTCCGTATGCAGTCATTTTGCGTGCATGCCACTTTATAGTCTCAGATATTTCCGTAATGGATTTATGATAGCTGCGTGACGCCTACGACTTTTATATGCATTTACGTATACACGCGATAGCGCAGCGATATATAGAAGGGTCTAATGATTTTTCGATGCCGCCACCGTCGCCGTGCAGCTACTTGTTCGAGCACGAAATTGATTTTTTTTTTCTTATAAGCCGAGAGTAAAACGACGCCAGGCGATTCGGAAGTAAATGACGATTCCTTGCGACGTTCTCTTTTTCTGAACTGTGCTTCTGTTTCATTTCATTCTCTATCCTCTCATCTTCGAAAATTAATTTTAAATGAAATTTATTCTCTGGAATCGAAGGAATTTAATTCCGTTCGATTTTTTCGAAATTTCTGCAGGCATTTCCTTATTGATTATGAGCTTTTACGAAATAAAGTATTGAAAGAAATTGCTCAACCATTTCAGAAATTTCTAATTGATAAATACTTATGCATAAAAAAATCATGATTTTAAATAAATCTAGATTGCACAGCGTTAATAAAGACGAGATATGACTCGAAAAGAGAAGATTGGAATTATCGGGTTTTATAAATTTGTTGATTTCACCGCGTTTCTCAAAGTAAGCCGATGAAAATTTGCTGCTCTTCAAAAATATTTAATATGAATTAAAATGTACGACAGGTCCGTCACAATCGATTTTCTGAAACGTAGTTTTGCGAAGTTACCGCGTGACTCTGTCCATGTTCTCTCGCCGAAGTAAGTAACCGAATTAAAACTTTCGCGAGTCTCTATTCATTGTCGCGTGTCACCAAATATGCTTCTTTGGAACACTTATTTTGATGCAAATAGCAGCAGGATCGACGACAAATTCAAGCGTCTTAAGAATTTACATTAGGAATTCTATATAATGTAAAATACAGTTTTATACAATCGCATTTGGTAAGAATGGGAAGATTTTCCTTATCAAAAACTAAAATTTTTTCTTTTATAAAAAAAAATAATAATTTCTTGACATTTTAACGTTAAATAATAATACTCTTGTAATTATGCTTTAAATCAGGTTTGCGCTAAAATACTCTCATAATTGACAAGATTTGCGCCAAAATACTCTCGTAATTGACAAGATTAAACTGATAAGATTTAATTGAGACAAGAACATTTCATTTGAAGCGTTCGAGGCAATAGATAAATTAAATAAATTAAATTTAAGAAAAGCAATTTTTTAAATAACGATGGGGGAAATTATTTTATTTAGAGTAGAAGAAACCATGCATTCATTGATTGTAAATACAATATCGTAATATTTACTCACATTTTCGTTTACTTTCGTCTCAAACATCTCGAATCTCTCGTTGCTCTCGCTTAAATATTGCGTTCCGTTTTGCCAGGTTACGTTGGCTGCGGGTCGCGCCGCTTGTACCTTACATGTCAAAAAAACTTTCGTTCCCTGCACGACATGACCAACCACTCCCTCTAAGTCCATCTTCAACGGGCGCACTGTAAAGAGTGTAATAGTAGTGTTAGAAGACAGAAGCTGTTACTTGCTATGGTATTAAAACACGATTAATGTCCCTATATCTCTATAACACTAACTGCTTAATAAGAGTACACAAAAAGATTTGCCCTAGATTAGAGGAAAGAAAGTAAAAATATGACACATGTATATTCAATTTAATGTTGTGTGCATTTTTTTATTCTAGTAATAGAGAAAGACACGTTATATGTATAAATTAGCCTTTTTCATTCTAAATTTTTAAGTCTTTTTATTAATTTTTTTCATATATCATATTTTTAGTAATAAGCAAGAAAAGAAAAAAGTACTTTTATATTTTTTTCGCGCAAAGAAAAAAAGTATTTTTATATTTTTGCATCGACGTGAGCTTAATTATTTTTCATGCAAAATTATACTTTAAAATGAGATACTATAGATTATTTTTTTATTATAATAAAATGGAATAATCGTGAATATTCAAAAAAGATTTTGAAACTGATTGTATTGTAAAATACTTGATTCTTTTTTGACCTGTATATATATATATATATATATATATATATATATATTATTAATTTGGAAAAAATTAATAATCTGCTTCATTATATTTGATTGTCATATTAAATATTTAAATATATTTTATTTAATATGCACGGTGAAAAACCACGATATTTAAATTTAATGTTATTACAATATAAATTTTTATAATTATATTGTACGTTTCTCTATACGTTTCTCTGTTATAAATTAATTAAAATATGCATGAGTTGAGAACGTGTTCTTGCTATGAATATATTAATTAAAAAAATATTAATATGAATTAATTAAAAAAATATCCATTACCATCTATTATCTATTTTTTCTTTATATCTTTTATTTTTTTTAGCATTGCAACTGACGACTTATAAACGTTTCTTTGTAGTTTAAACGGTCGTGATGAATACTGGAAGTCGTATCGACGGAACATTTGGCAGTCTTTTGAACTATAATAAAATTTCGTCAAGTTCAGATTCTGCGATTTCCAGCTGTGTATTCGTTGTTAAATGCACGGCTGTTTCTGTACTGTATACTAGTTACTGGATATATATGTAGAAGATGATCATTGGCAATCGGTCGTAGATGTCATCTAATGATTGTGTGGTATCTGACCTCCGCATGGCACGATGACATTAGGATTGGTATGTGTAATCAGGGGTAGAGCGAGACATGATTGAACGTGCGAAATGCCAATTTCGACAGTTTTGCATCGTCCCTGATATTTTCTGAGCAATAAAATTGTCCTTGTATAATTATAATAATTTAGAAATACAAGAGTAGTGAGACACACATGTTGGAACAGTTTAGATATATATAATTCTCTTTAAAAAATCATGTAGTAAAATAATTATAAATTATTAGTATTTTAAGTAGTAATAAAATAATGAATAATAAAACGAAATTCAAATTTGTCGAAGTCTACAAATTGTTGTTGAGAATTGAAAGTTTTTAGAGATATATAAATATTTCGCGTTGTGACAAGAATCATAATAATATAGTGCATATTTCGATAAACGAATTGTTTATCTAATGATCAAAATATCTGTATATATCAATGCAGTAGCAGGTATGTCGACGAGATGGATGACTTTTCCATGTTTATAGCATCATGTTTGCTTTGAAAATTTACAGTTAATGGAATATTTGAAAATTGTCATTTTGGTATCGTTAAATCGATCCGGAAGCTCCTACGAGGATACACACTTTATGATGAAAATTGCTGTAGAAATGCGGTAATCGGTGACGGTATGTTCTGTCGTTGCATATGGAGATATATATCCACGATATCTATTACGATATATATTAACGTCGATGGATTTCCTAACGGACTGTCCTGTACATCATAACATTCATCGAATTTCCCTCGGGTTATTATATGTACATATATATAATGCATGGGCATTATCATATATTGATTGGAAAGTTTACAAAACATCTTGCAATTTATATATTATATTAAAATTAATTTATATATGTTATCAAATTAATCATGCATATATATATATATATATATATATATATACATATATGTATATTAATGTAATAATTGTCATATATATTACTTAATAAATGTTATATTTTTGGTTAATCATAAACATTCTTAAGAGTATTTGGCAAAATTTTTACCAAAAGAGTTGAGTATTTTATTACTTTTAAATTTTCAACTATGTAGGAAGTTATTGGAATTCCAAATTTTTTTTATTAATAATATTTCACAGCTAGAAGTTCTGTTGAGTCCATTACATGACCCTAGACCTTGCAGATCAATCTTTCTTCTAATAGCGCTACAGTTGGTCTGAATTCTTGCCAATTTATTTTATAACAATGGTTTGAAAAAGTTAAAAGTTAAAAGTTAGGCTTAATTTGAATTGTTTCTTTTATTTAATTTATTTGCTTTCATCATTTTTTAATTTTTTTCTTAAAATGTACATCAACTGCAAAAATTTTAATATTTAAGGCTTAATATCGAAAAGTAAAACTTTTTTGAATTTACAAAACACATTTTGTTTGCAAATTTTTTTAGATATATTTTTAATTTTTTTTGGAATCGCAAATATTTATAAAATTTGAATTTTCCTCTTTATAAATATGTGTTGTTTAACAAAAAATAATTTCTTATTGTTATATCTGTCTAAATATTGCTTAGGATCACTTTGATCACTTTGATGCACTGCACGGATCTCTGAAAATTATGCACTCGAAGTTAATATTAATATTATGAATATTTATATTATAGTTAATATAATGTTAAATAATATTTTTTCAAAGCTTATAAATATAGCTTATAAATATTTTCCACAAAAAAGAGAATTTTTTAAATTAATTATAAAGTAGAGAGATTAAGTGTTAATACGAAGGTTTATCGATGATTTTCGTAAAGACATGCAGAAAGCCTTGACCGATAATTCATCGGCAAAATTCAGTGAGCGGTATTCAATACAAGAAGAATACGAAAAGAAAAGATGCAGGAACCGAGCAAAGAGCGAATGGCGAGAATCTAATATCGGGAATTGCATTTGACTTCAATTGCACTCCCCCTAGCTGATGGTAGATGCGGAGAAACGAACCGAGGACCGAGGGTAGCATGGTGACAGAGATAGGGAAAATGTATAAAAAGTCACCTCTTCTTTGCGCAAATATTTTTTTTTCTATTGGAAAATGCGCTGACGTGCTTTTGATCTTCGAACAAATCTGTCCGCCGACGTTTACTTTGAATCTATACGGATGATACTGGATCACATTATCGAATGTATTTTATCGTATCTACGAGAGGATGATGTAAATACATCGTTTGATATAAAAATATAACTTGATACTTTGATGAAAATTTGTAAAAGAATCGTGCTTTCATTCATTATCTTATGATATCTCGAAATATAATTATCTCATTGAACAAAAAAGTTGTTATAATCCAGAATTAATTTAATTTAAGTTAATTTTGTTAATTAATTTTATTAATTAATTTTGTTGAAGTGTCTAAATGTATTTGCGATCTAATGCGAATACTTATGTAACGATAGATTGTGAATAATAATATACAATAAGTAAGAAAATAAACTCCAAGATATATAAATTTTATAAGCTTTTGAATTTCAATAGTCTTTAAAAGTTGATTTTTTTATTTGACTAAAATTGCATCTCAGAGCACATGTATGCAGTGTAATAAAATTTTTAATTTTTAATAAATATTGATTTTTTAATAAAAATAATAATAATATAAAAAGAAATATATTTTTATATTATTATTATTTTTATTAAAAAATCAATATTTAAATTGGTTGCGGAAAGTAATTTTTTATAAAACACACCAATTGTTCTGCAGGACAGCTTCAAAATTTATAAGATATTTTTTTAATCGTGCAGTCATTTCGAAGATATCGTCAGATACGTGAGATGATAAGATTCTCTTTTCTTGTTAATGAAAACTCGCCATTAAATTAATTTCCTCTTCGCACCCGAAAATTTCTAAGAGTTCGCAATTCGGTAAGCCGACCGCGAGACTTTTTAAGTCTGTTGCCGATGGCAATGCGATTTCCTGGTTTTGTTTCCCTATAAGAAATCCACTTGCTTGAATGCTCCGCCAGGTCCCCGTTCGCGAGTTCTCGTCACTCTCGAAAGCTGGCCTCCGCGACTTCCAACGAGCAGCTGCGGAGCCGTGAGATTTTCGCAGATATCCTGCGGGTATTCGCGACATTTCCACTTTAAATTCACCGCAGGTTGTTAGAAACGACTCAGTGGGAGTTTATATTTATATTTTCTATGTATATATATATATATATATATATATATATATATGTGTGTGTGTGTGTGTGTGTGTGTGTGTGTGTGTGTGTGTGTGTGTGTGTGTATTGAACGGATCATGCTCTGAAGAATTTTAAATTGCGCTTTGCATTGAATTTTGACGATATCGCTGTTATTCCTTTCTCCTTTCTTAGTATTTTCGACATTGTTTTATTACCTGTCTAGATTTTTATTGTGCTGGCAGGCAATTTTTCATTTTTCACGATATGATGTTGGAGCGAAGCATGTCGACGTGATAGCAAAAGCGTCAGATAGTGTGCTCTATGATCCTGTGTATTACATCCTTATAGTATAAAAGAATATTATTGATAACGATAAAGTGAAAATTTCAAGCAAAAGCGTCACAAATTGCAACGATACATAAATGAAAAGATGTTAAAAATATACTATTGGAAATGTATTTTGTCCTCTGAAATTCTTTGAAATTTAATGGAAATTTAAAGAGATTAATAAAGAGAAATACGTTACTAGATATTGCATGCGGTACACGATTACAGTTGATCCATTACTTTTATCTCGACAAAAAGACAAAACTTTTTATAATAGAAATTTTTTAATATATTAATGCATCTCTGTATCTAAATAATGTATTATTAATTTCTTTCATTTCATTTTTACCTCTTTTTAATTATATTTTTATCAGAAGAGAATACGCTCTTGGCTTTTATCGTTTAAGTATTTCAATACATTATAATTTTATGTGCTCTTTCCATTGTGTAAGAATTCATTATATATATTTAATTCTTGAGAATTAAAATTATTATTACTTTTCAATCTATTAACGTAAATTGTAGCACTTATTTCTTTTGAAATTATATGTGATTTGTCTTTATTATAATAATTATATTACATAAATTTCAAAAATTATAGTTTTTGACAATATTAAATATAATATATATATATATATATATATATATATATAATATATAATCAAAAAGATAAATTACTATCAGAGATCGCTTTTATGTATAATATATACACTGATAATTATAACACATGTACAATGCAAATATTAAATTTTACAATACAAATATTAAATTTATTCGTTTTATAAGATATTTCTTCTTCGATACTATCTCATTATATTATATTAATAATATAATAACTACTCTAATTGCAATAAATATGTGATATAATAAGACATTAATTCGATAATTTAACAAATTTATTAATTGACGCGTTTCTACATGATAGCAAGAAAATTAATCCCAACTTCAAAGTTAATGAATTTATCGATACACCGTGAGTTGCGTATTTGTATAAGAATATTATGATATAATATTATATTATAATATTGTAAAGTTTGACTATCGTTAATAAATTTCTAATCGTGACAAGACCGCAACCTGTACAAATATAAGATATTATATAATTAATAATTTAACAATTCATTTTGTGCACATGTGTGAATATATGAAAATCTCTTTTCGCGTAAAAATGATAAACATTTAATTATAATATGCAAAATTTGCGCGCATGAGCAGATCCGTAATTAAAATAACAGATACTTGGCGATTTTCGGCGAACCATAATCATAAGTATTGGCGTAATAATGTGTATAATTTGAACTGATTTGTGCATACACTTGAATATGTGTTAAAAACGATTAAATTTCTGAGCCTATTAGAAGGATTTTTACTGTAGTAGTGTTAAAAAACTAACTAAAAATTGTTTTTCTTGCTTATTATTTAACTTAAATATTATTAAACATTTTAAATAGTGTTTTTATTACATTGCTAAATTTATAGAGATATTCTGCTATATGTGTACATTTATCGAAGACTTATATATCATTTAGTAATTTTCAGTAATTTATGACCTGCCATAGTTGTATAATGGATTATTAAAAAATTGTCCCATTTATGTGAGAATATATATCAGTATACAAAGAAACAGCGAATCTTTTCTTTTCTTTTTACTTAAATTATCTATCAGCGCAATAACGTAGAGTTAATAAGAAATAAGAGAATTCCATTAGCGCATATCGATCAGGATTTCAGAATGCAATAATGTATTACAATTTATACCATTAAATTAGATGCGCTTTTCCGTTGAGTAGTTAATAATGCACATACTTTAGCTTATTTATAAATATTAGTTTCCTGCTTCATCTAAAGTAACTCAATACGAAACTTTAGTTATCTGAATCGCGTATAAAAAAAAATGTAACTACGAAGGAAAATCATTAAATGGATCACAAATAATTATTGAAAAAATTCTTCTACATGAATTATTATCAAGTTAGATTATGTAAACAATTACTGCCATCATTCAGAAACTAATTTACTTCATTTATGATTATCTCACAAGTCACATCCATTTGTGACTTAATTAATGATTTAGCAGAATATTTTAGCATAATTAACTATTTGTGACATACACTTGTATGTCTTAATGACTTTGCTTCGTATTTTTGTGTACTTCAATATCAATTATTTTTTTCCCAATAAAAATTAGAGAAATTGTGTACTGGATAATCGATTCTTCCTCATTATTGCACTATTATAACTCGATTAACCATATAGAGCATATGAAAAAAAATACATTGCGAAAAAGACTTCTTTCTCATCGCGATAGTAAACATGAAGCAAAATTACGTGACCTACATCAAGTGAAATTAGCTTTTTATCTGATGTATAAAAGATGCACCATGGAATTTAGAATTTCGTGGCTAAATTTGAAAAAAGAAAAAACATATTACTATCAATAAAAATTTAGTTCATGTCTGGTAGTACGCATAGTGTTTTGATCGCGTAGAAATTCAAATTTGAGATTCAAATCTCTTTTGCATTAAATTGAATTTTGTGCACTTTCGCTTTACACTTTTCAAAGTATAAACCACTGCTATTTTATACCTTTGTACGCGGATTTCAAAGATTTAAGCGTGAAGAATTTTCCTCTCAAAATGTCTAATAGATTGTCTGAATTACATTATTATATAAAATATGGTTTTTTTGCATTTTTTTGATCTATTTCTTAATCCGGGTGACGAGGTATCGGTTAGTGAGTGCTTGTGAAATTCTGTAATAATTCTAACTCGCGCAACATATTGTGCTAAATCTATGTGAGTAGTTTTGTTAGGACGAAATCCTCTCTTTAACTATGCTATTACATTGTGCGAGAAATTATAACAGATGGAATAGTTATTTGACATGATTGAATATCATGTTCTCAGATCATTTAACAGCACTTATATGTTTACAACAAGAGAGAAAAAAAAGAATAATATACCTTATTCTATTTTGTAGTATGCATGCCTATTACGTTTTAACTTGAGGCTTAACAGACGTGTAACAAACACAATCTTGGACCAGATATTACATTAATAAAAATATTACATTAATAATTTTTATTTTTATTTTAAAAAATAAAAATTGAATGTATATTCAATACTGTTAAATATATAAAATTCAAAAAATTGTAAGATACAAAATCTACGTAAATAAGTAATAGTTTAGCTAATTTTCTCATCATGTATGCTGGATAAATTGTTTATTATTTTCGTTTATTTTTGTCGTACCTTTAAATTTATTATTATTTATTATTTAAATATTGTCATTCTATTCAAAATTATAAATTACATTTAAAATTATATTATTACATGTTGCAAAAATCGATTCTGTCTTATATAACTAAAATATAATATCCCAATATCTCTATCAAGTTATTTAAAGATATCTATTTAACGCGATCAATATTAATTCTCTTTAATTTTTAATTATAAACATCTTATATTATTGTTTTACATTTTATGTTACTGATTAAAATACAAAATGCTATTAGAAATTGAGAAACAAGACTTTATTCTCCTTTTTTTGATATCCGAGCGTGCTCGAAACTTTATTAGGAAATGCTAATTGACTTCGAAAGTTAAGCTAGTTTATATTCCGCAACAAGTACACTTGGCCTAAAAATTCTTCCACACTCGACCACATTGATATAGTGCTCTTTGGTCCTAGTATTATTCATATTCATACCTCGCGCGTGCGCGAGTTTACTCGATGTATCCGTGTTTTGATTTAATGAATAAACGGTACTTGATGGATTGTTGCAAATTTAGGTCGAAGTATCCACATTCGTTTATTCTATTACTATGTGAATTTCATGTTGAATTTATATCGATAGTTATTGAATTGAATACTGTATATATTGCAAATTATGTCGCGCGATTGAAATTGTACATAATTCTGATCTATCTCCTTTCCTCTCTTTTTTCTCTCCCCTTGATGGTACGCACGATACTCGATGTATAATCGATATTTCAAACGGAACTGATCACTGAAAAACATTGTTCTATTGACATATATTGAAGGCTTTTATTGCTGATAGACTCTCTGAAACTTTATTATTATGGAGCAAAGTATATTAACGTCAATAATGAGAAAAATTGTTAGATTAAAATACAGCATAGAGAGGAAAATTCCTCCATGCTCGCGTATAAGTTAGTAAAAATGACAAATAAATATACATCGAATAAGGATTTTTCAACCATATTGCAGTTCACAGACATTTTTTGCAGCGTGTAGAAAGATTCTGCTACGTTAATTTCGAGTGGAGTATATGTACTTACCGTGTACATTTGGTTTAATATCAACTGCAAGTGGCTCCATGAGGGCAATATTGTTGACTTTACACGTGAATGTTGCGCCTAACTCTTCCCGTGTAATTTGCATCTCTAGCAAACTACTGCCAGTGCCTGCCCCGGTATCAGTGATAGTCGACGAGCTCGTCGCTGAAATGGAACAGTTTATATTTCTTGACAAGCATGTCTCGAGAGAGAGAGAGAGAGAGAGGGGGGGGGAAAGAGAGAAACAATACTAGTTATATATTTTAAAAGATCGCACAAGATTAAAACAAAACGTATTTCAAAATATGCATGACAAAAAATTGTGATTAAAAACACTGAATGTTTATTTTAATTTAAAAACGCATAAAATTAATAATTATATAAAATTCGAGAGGAAAAAATCTTTGATAATATCATCGTTATTATCCATAATTGATTATAATAAAAAATTAATAAATGCTAAAGTTTCTTTTGTCTTTCAATATCTGCGTTTGAATAATGATAACGATACATTTTAATTCATATAAAATTTCACTCGAAGTAAAATTATATATTTTAGCATTGTATCCATTTATTTTTAACTAAAATATTATATGTTAGATAAAATCTCACTTGATTCAATAATGTTACATCTCGAATAATGGAAATGTTAAGATATCGATATTATCAGCAAAGATCGATGAGCGAATTTATTATAATCAGTTTTTAATAAGTACATATACAAGTAGAATAAAAAAGCGCCAATTATATGATTAAGTATATATTGTAATCTCTTGATATTTTATACTTTTAATTTAACAGATTAATTTAGTAATATGTAAATTTTAATAAATTATTTTGTCAAAATATAAATGAAATTAATTTTTTGATTAATAATGAAAAAGAAAATTAAATTAGAAATAACATGAATTATATAATTGCAAATTTTGACGTAGGCAATTCCGCTAATTAAGTTAATCCGAGTTTAGTCAAAGTAATTTTAAATTAGAGTTATAAAGGGGATATATCATTAATTGAAAACACTAAATTATGTGTGTTCTGTTTAATTATGTTTTTAGCTTAAATTTCTTCAAAAATACGCATAATTTTATAAACAGACTTATCGGTTTTAATGAAGATTATAAATTTTACCTTCAAGCAGTTGGTCATTTTTAAACCACTCCACTGTAGGTGCAGGTTTGCCTTCGCCGCTCTCGCAATATAGAGCTATTGTCGAGCCTTCGTTTATAGGTCCTAAAGTGGAACCCGTACTCAGAGTATTCTTCGAATTTTCGTCGATGACACGTACAGATTTTGGTTGCACTAGAACACACACAAATGCATTTATATCGAAAACTATTTTATTCTATGAATTATCTCTGTTCATTTTTGCCGCTTAAATTTAAGTTTTATTGTAGCGATTATCTCTCTTTCCATATATTGCAATGTATTACAATAAATCCACAGATATTGCATTCATAATTATAACTTTTCCTCCTTTGATATTGAAAATATATTTTCGCGAAGAAACAGTTCATTAGTTTTCTACTTTTCGAATGTATAAATGCATTCTTCAAATAAGAATTAAATATAATAAAATAAAATTTACTTTGCATTACTTTGGAAAATTTCTTGACAATAATGTATATCGTATATTCACTATTATGTTTAAAGGTAATTGTTCCGCGGGAAACTATCCGTTTCGCTTTGATGTTGAGGAAAATAACAAGAATGCTCCGTAAAAGATACCACATCTTGATATAAGTAAAATATTTATGAATATCAGACTTGCTCTTTGTTCTTCTCTTCTTTTTTCTTTGCCTAAAGTTATGCGAATCGATCGTTTTGAAAAATATCAGCGTCAACACAAAAATTTAATCTGTTGTTTTGCGTTTGTACTCTATAAATAACGATATCTCGAGGGTAGTGTGGAATTTAATAAATTGTGTATTGTATCGACATTTTCGAACATCTCATCTCTTGTGTGTAAATTGATACGATTTATATATATTTGCTCCATATATCTTTCGGCTTAGGAAATAGATACAAATCCTATCATATCTTATACCTCGCGCAAATGCCATTCCTTCCGACGTTATCAGATTTAAAAATTCCTAGAATTTTCTATTTTTTCTAGAATATCAATTTATATTTATACAGTAAGTTGCAATTTATTTATATTAAATCTGATTATTGAATAATTAATTAGGTTACTGCAAAATGATAATTTTATCGAGAAGCTTTTTCTTTTAAACGATAAATGATTTAATTACGATATTTCGAAAGGTATATCGCAATCCAATTCATTTCGTCTAATTCAGCACGTTCGATCTGATAGAGACTTGTCTTTTCGCGCGACGGGAATAAAGCGACGAGTATTGTATGCGGTGAAATTTTAAACCACTGTTATATCGATTTTCTGATGTAAGAAGAGTACTTTAAATTTCTACAATTCCTACAGGAATAAAGTGCCACTTATCGAACAGGTGCCATGTTCTTAGGACTTTATAAATCAAATCTTTGGTAACATCAACTGAAAATGCATTCAGATCATAGTGTTCTAGTACTCAAATCAAATCCTCGATAACACCAACTGAAAATATACTCAGATCACAGTATTCTACTCTGTCGATGTTACATTTATGAATGTACATACAAATGCACATACACGCCAAGCATTTGCATGCTGCAAATCCGGCGTAATACCACAAGTGCTTATATGTGTAAATGTTACTTTTATGGATAACCATATTTATGTAATGGTCATTTTTAAAAATGGCAAAAATGAATTATGGAGAGCCGCAAATGATGAAAAGTATAGTATAATACTCATAAATATAATACCGCCATACGCATTTGCGTAGAAATAATGGAACAAGCTTTCATTATATTTGTACCATGCTGATATACGAGAAATTATTCGTCTATTCCCTAAAATATATGAAAACATCAGAAAATTTGTATAGATATGACATGTAATGTGTGTTATTTATTTTTTCTTGTTTAAATTTCTTTGAACTTTTAAATAATTATATAATCAGTTGTGAGATGGCATATACGTTTTATACAAAAATTGAAATTTATTTGATAGTGTGATTTTATTTTTTATTGGCTTAATCTCGTTCGCGTTCACTTTTTGTGTGATCGGATTGTATCATTGACAAATGATAAAAAATGAGAATTTAATTATGGAAAATTTCTAATTTTCTCTTCGAAACAGCAATCAGATCTAGAAATTTACTCGTATTTATTCATGTTTAAGAAATTTGCATTTTTTGCATCTTTAAATACCGATATATGTATATCAGGAAACTTAAAAATTAGCAAAACAAAATAAGATTTTATGATTAACAAAAATAATGTAATTACTATTTAGCATTTCCGTTTAAATTTTAAATCGATTGAAAATCATATTTGTCTTATTCGCTTGATATATGTCTTTTAAATCGAATAGAGTCTTCTTTATATTTTGCTCGAGAAATGCCGAAGACAATTGTTTATTAAATTTGTTCACCTTCTGCTGCTTACATCTTATATCGTTTTTTTTTCATTTTCAAAATTTCATTTACAACTTTTCCGCTAAATTGACATTTTTATAAAGCGGTGATCTAGAAAGAAGGCAAGATGAGTAATTTTATCATATATTGTTAGTGTCAGATTTTATTCGTCTATATCGAATCAGCAGATTTTATTCGTCTATATCAGCTCAGATAATATTATATTTATCAAAGGTTAAAAGAAATTGTGTAGTCGACCAAACTAGCCAGAAATATAATTTATTCAATACGACGTTTCGACCATATGGTTGTGGTCCTTATATTATATTTCTGGCTAGTTTGGTCGACTACACAATTTCTTTTAACCTTTGAAAATTCGACTAGCGATATTAAGCTTCTACAAAAATTATATTTATCAGTTCTCTGGTAGGAAAACAGGACTAATTTGTCGAATTAAAATAAATTATTTAAGCTTCAAAAGGGGCGTAATTATTATTACCGTATGTTCATGTTAAAAAATTGAGATATTTTATGTATTACTGCGATTTTACTCTTATGCTCAAATGCATATTATGAAAAATTTATTAGTTTTGTTAGCATTTATGAAACCGCATTTAAATTATAAGGCACGTTCAATGAAAATGTGAACTAAGGTCATTAGTTTATAAAAATTGAATTAATATAAGAAATAAATCAAAATACAAAATATTAAATCACTAATTAATTAAATTTATTTATTTAGACTCCGTCTAAGTGTATGTTGTGCGTTTTAAATTTATGTTTGCAAATCGTTGTAAAAAAGTTTGCAAATATATATCTTATATTAATTATATATATATATATAAAGATATAAATAAATATAAAAGTAGAACATTTCTTTTAGCAAAGGGATTTTAAATAATCTCAGTTATTGAAGGATTTAATGCATAAAGCATCAACATATAGATATTATTTCGCAACGATGTTCTATAATACATATTTCAATATAACTGCCATTAAGAGACTCAATAATATAGGATTGCTATTTTCTTATATTTAAAAGTGCATATATAAATATATAAATATATATATTACCGATTATTCAATTTTTAAAATCAATTTTCTTGTAAATCCCACATACATCCCTTGACGTTTGATATAAAAAGATTTTGTTCAACATTTTCGATTTATTTTTACACCAGGAATCGTTTCTTTCTCGGTTACATTATATTTTCAACCTGTATATATATGAGTTTTCGGAATATCAAATAACTTTTTTCAGCAAAACTCATCTCGCAATTTCGCGAACGATGCTCTTGGCGAAATTGTAAATTTTTACGATCGCGTATATCATCGCGTGTAATTTTAATTCGCATTCGCGAGTTGAGAAAATTACATCAATGCAATATTGATGCAAAGCAAAACAAAACAAAAGATTATTTTCCTTTTCTAGTATCGGCAAAATTTATCTCTTTTTATCAAAACATGATATTAATAAGTCGATACGGTTTAACGAGATAAGCTGCAAAGATGACTTTTTGTAAAGACATCATATTTTCCAAAGCAAAAAAGAGAAAGATCTGTTATAAAGTTAACTAACGAGTTTCTCAAATGTTGATCGATATTGATGATGAAACGTGATGCATGCGTTTTGTTAAGCAATTCGTTAATGAATAAATCTTTTATTACAGAACAATATTTCATGTTGTTTTTGGATTTAAATTATGTCAAATTAGATTGTATAATTTCCGTACACATATCTTTATCGCTAAAGTTTTTGACGCTAAATTTTAATTTATTTTAATAACCAGAATACTTCGAAAATTTTGCGTTCCTATACAATGCATTATTCGTCTTCCAAAATAACTCTTGACGCGTGCTTTAATAAGATGCAAATCACATTAAATCACAATGAGTTTAAGTTAATAGGCTATAACGGCTGCTCATCCAATCAGAAGCACGCTGGCTAACTTTACGCTTCATATTCTCGAAGGCTGCAATTTGCAGCCGTGAAGAAGGTTTAATTGGATCGGTCGCGAGACAAGTGGTACTTCATAAAATTTGAATTGAGCCGAATGGCTCTCCTAGCCAATCGCAACCGTATCCACCTTTGCTTAATAAATGATTCAGTTAAACTGCGAACTAGGTCATTGCTTGCGCGACAGATATATTAAAGATATGTTAGACATATCATTGTAATAATTAATATCTTCTCGAAATTTCATTATATTTTATGTTTGAATGAAAAATCTGAAATTTTGAAATATATATAATTTTTATCTCTTAAGTTTGTAAATATTCCGAATGCAATATAATATAATATAATATAATATATATATATATATATATTTTATTTAATAAATATTTTATAAATAATTTTAGAATAGTTACATATGTATATATTATATTATTTTTTATGTTTTAATAATAGTTTTTAATTACAATATTTCTTTGTTATAAGCGTAGAAATTTTGAGTTTGTTATTTAAACAGAAAATTAATTATTATGATTTTTAATGATATTTTCTTGCTGTTTTTAATTATCTAATGTTACATGGTGTAACTTTGTGTTATACACACACATAACACTGAAAAATATGAGTTTATTCTTCATAATAAAAATGAAAGTTTCTACAAATTCTTGAATTTACATATTCTGGCTATATTTATTATTAATATCTGATATTTGAAACTGAATATTAACATCTGATATTTGAAACTTACTTTTAATTCTTGGAAATTTTTCTAAAATTTTTTTTATTATTTTTATAACATATAATATATTAAAGAAATTTTTAATTAAGTAATGTTTTTATATAAAAGAATAAAAGAACTACAATAGCTTTTC